GACCTTGGCTCCTCTGCCGTTCCATCACAGGGGAGGGGGAGGTCCAGGACGGGGAGGACCAAACCTTACCTGGATGTCCCATGTCTTATATATTCTGGAAGTTGTGCAAATGCAGGGGTGGGCATAGATATTCTGCTGGGATGGGGCTGGGTTGGTGCCCTTGGACTCCGTGAGGCTCTGTAATGCTGCTGCTTTGGGCCCTGGCAGGATGGGCTGGGGTCTCCATGCCCTGGGTGGCAGTTTGACAACAGAGGTGCCTATTGGGGCCAGTAGGGGAGCTGGCTCCCTGGAGGGCTAAGCCCAACCAGCCATTCCTCCCCATCCCCGCATGTTTCTCTCCTCCTCCTCCCTTACATCATCACACAAACATAAACATAGGACCTTGGGGGGTGGGCAAGTCAGGGAGTGCGGGTATGGACCCCATTTCCGCATTCCTGTGGCAACCTGCCCCCCAATTTTATTTGCACCTTATACACTTCCACTGACGACATTCCACACAAACACACACTTAGGGCCTTAGGAGTGAGCACATTCAACGGCATTTGGCAGGGGGATATTTCAGCCTCCTCCCGAGTGCCGGTGCCCACTTCCAATTTTTAACCGCACTTAGACGCTGATGGCTGAGGGTGTAAGTGGGGTGGTGCGGTGGCATCAGCTGGCATATGCCGGATGATGCCCGCACTGCCCACTCACCACAGCCATGGAATACACCTCATGATCACACAACACTATATTGGAGCAGGTGGAGGGAGACTAGGGGTCTTAGCCACCTCTGTTGTTGCTAGGCTTCCTGGGGCTGGAGGCTAGGAGGGAGATCTGGCCGTCTGGTTGGGGTCTGGGGTGGTGGGTTGCTGTGCTCAGCGTTGGGCGGGGGAGCCTGCTCATCAGCACCCCAGCAGAAAGGGTCAAACTCTGGTTACCGGTGATGGTTGTACCCCATTTGCAGCAGTACCGGGACCAGAGTTAATAGGGTGTGTATGGGGAGCATGAGTGGGTGTCCGGCGTGCATTTTTGTAAGTCTTGGGTTGTATGTGCATGTGTGAGCATGAGGGAGGGAGTGTGTGACTGTGTTTGTGTATGACTGTATATGTCAGGTGGGGCCTTTGGGTCCTCCCCTCTCCTGGAACTTCTCTTGATGATATAGATCTTTGTCCCCCCTCCCCCTGCCACACCTGGTGTGGGGGCTTGTGCCATGGTCTGCCTGAGTGTTCGTGGCAACCGGGTCTGGGGTTTTAAGATTTTGGCATCTGCCTGATAGATCCCGGTGGCTGCCTGGTGGGGTCTGGGTCCCTGGGCTCTGCTGGGTCCCCGGCGGGGGTGGTCACCCCTGGGTCCCGGGTCGCTGGGTCCCGGGCTCGGCCGGCTAGGGGGTGGGAGGCTGCGGGCGGGCCTGTGGGCTTGCCGCTGATATCTCCAGGGACTCTGCCGGCTGCTGGTTGTGGCCCCCCGGGGCGATCCTCTGTGCCTCTCGAGGGGGGCGGGGGCCTTTCTGGTTGCAGTCTCCTTGGGGTTCCTGCATTCTGGGGCAACGCCTGGATCTCTGGGACTTGGAGCTCCCCCCCGTCTCCTGCGCATCTTTGGGGGGCGGATCTGTGGTCCCTCACCCTCTCTGTTGGACGCTCCTATAGAGAAACCTTAAATAAACAAGCGCGTGTACACACACAGGTGCTCACATGGTGCTCTCAAAAGTATGGGCTTGGGCACGTTCAACACATGTCTTAAGACTATGGGGGGCACTTAATGCATTGTGATTTATTATCGTGATTCTTCAGTTAAGCAATGTTGATTATATATATATATATATATATATATATATATATATATATATATATATATATATATATATATATAGTTTTTTTGTTTTTTTTCATCAAGTTGACGCAGTGATACTTGTTGTATTGTTGTTGTGTCCCTTTTTTGTGTCCTTTTTTTTTGTCTTTTTCTGCAGGTCTAGAAGCAGACTCTTGTTCATTGTTTATTTTTGTGGAACCCCCCCCCCCCCCCCCCCCCCTCCTCCTCTCTCCACCTTTTCTCTTCCTTTCTCTTTCACCTCTGTCTCCGTGTCTGGTCGGAATTACAAAGCATTCAACAACAATAACAATAAAGTTTTAAGTATCAGGCGTGACATTAAAAGCAAACGCTTTGATGCTCCACCTGAGAATTAATCTGTAAGGCTTGTCACCAGCATTCAGACATCAATTCTGCTTGCTTCACAGCCAGACAGGACACGGTAATAAAAAAAAACAAAAAAAAAAAAACACTCACAACAGATGTGGAGCATGTGTAGGCAAGTTTACTTAGACTGTAGCCCAATTTATGATGCACTCTTGGCATCCTGAAATGTTTCTTGCATGAAAGTTTAAGTTCCAGTGCCAGTTTTGTGGGAAATGGTGGGTTGAAATTGTTTCAGTTTATTGTACATGCCGCAAATGGCCTAATGTGGTCTGGCCTGCACATTCCTCAATCAAAGGAGCTGCAGACTTTATGTAAATTTAAACACAAAAACCTATGGCAATATAAAGAACTAATACTGGTACATGTTCTGTTTTTATGTTGTTTATATAGAAAAGTGTGTTTTTCAATAGCGATTTCTGTTGTTCAAGAATGGAACTGCAGAGAGTTCAGTGCAACTTCATCATCAATTTAAACAAAGCTCTTTTAGCATCAAAATCATTAAGAGGGTTTAAGTCAGTCTTCTAAAATGGACCAGAACCCCTCTGTATGCTACTATCACAAATTTGCATCAAACCACTTTAGGCCATAAAGGGTCCAGGTTGAGCATTACCCAGGCTTTCCACTGGATGCGTAAGCAGTGCGTAACATCTGTGAAGCACAAAATACAGCTAATAGAAGCTGTTAAGTGTTTGTTTTTTATCCTACTGGACGCCCAACAGTGCATCTTGGATGCATCCTACAAGCATATTGTCACGCCGCTCTGCTAAATGTATGCACCAGGTTCATTTTATATGCGCTATGCTTCCAGAACACATCAGGCTCAGTACTTCAGATTGAGCCACACAGAGAGCAAATCACCCCAAATCAACTTTTTCTGTTGATAAACTGTATGAGTGTTTAATAGCACTGCAGAGATACTTAGTCATCATTTTGGCATTGTAGTGCATTATATTCAAAATATAAATATGCTGTCTAAAATCATCAGTATGGCGACAATTAGATGGGGGTGTGCATCAGTCGCTACCATTGCGCAGTCCTCGCAGTCTGCCTGTCTGCCTTTTTGTTGCATTTTTAAACTGGAAGTGTGGATGGAGTAAAGCTCTGGTAAGGTGATGACTTGCTCTTTAAACATGGGAGAAGTTTAAAACATCCTGAAAATTTCAGAGTAAAGTCTAATTTATACTTCTCCACCTGCGTCGGATGCAACGCCATTATTCGTCCTTTCGAGTGCTCTCCAGCAGGCTTGCAAGTACGGACGGAGTCGAGCTCTCTTTTCTAAACATCCGTCCAACGAGACGGAGTGCAAGCTTGTGATTGGTCAAGACGACAGTGCCACCATTACACTCTCAAAATCATAGAGAGCTGATGATGTCTAGCGAGGCAGCTTGAAGATTACCTTGCGGAAAAGCTCTAAAAATATGAACCCCTTAATCACCCATGACCGGAGGAGTGAAAAGATGTGCAGCAAGCATTTTATCTGTAGACGGAAATGACGGGAAGCGTGGGTTTAGAGCGAGGTGGCGAGCACATTAAGAAGTGGAGGAGAATGGGAGACAAAAGTCTCTTAAAAGTCTTTTAAGTGCCAAAAACACAATTTAAACACGATAGTATGTGCACTATCTTGGACCGAATACATAACAGGATACCACAGAACAGCGCCACGCCCTCTGTTGTCCTGTCGGAGAATTGCTTTGCAACACTCCCTAAAGCCTGATTCATACTTCTCCGTCTGCGTCAGTGCGGAGACATGCATCGTCCTTGCGGACCTGACGGAGAGCTCCGCAAGGACGGACAGAGTCGAGCTCTCTTTTCTAAACATCCATCAGTCGAGACGGACAACACAAGCTTGTGATTGGTCAGGACGCCGCTGTTGTCTACACCGCCGCCATTGCGCCCTCAAAAACATAAAGAGAGCCGAGGATAACTAGCGTCAGACACGGAGAAGCTTGAAGAATACCTCGCGAAAAAACTCTAAAAACATGAACGTTTAATTCCCCCGTGACTGGAGGAGTGAAAAGATGCGCAGCAAGCGTTTTATTGGTGGACGGAAATGACAGGAAACGTGGGTTTAGAGGTGGCGAGCGCATGAAGAGGTGGAGGAGGATGAGAGACAAATTTGTCTGTGTTAAAAAGTCTCTTATATACAAAAAAAACACAATATAAACACTATCTTGGACCGATACATGACAGGATACCGCAGAACAGCGCTACGCCCTCTGTGGTCCTGCCGGGGAATTGCTTTGCAACACTCCCCAGGAGACGGAGAAGTATGAGAGCAAAACACTTCCGTCAACCCGTGCGTGTCTGTCTCTTGCGGAGCTGACGGAGAAGCATGAATCAGGCTTTAGAGACGGAGAGGTCTGAAGGAAAAACGTCTCCGTCCGTTTTTGTGTGTCTTCCTCGTGGAGCTGATAAAGGAGTATAAATTAGACTCAATCGATACGTGCAGAAACCTCCTTGGCTTTAAAAACAATAGAAATAGACCACTGACCTTTTGAATACATGCTTTCATCCCTCTCCTTGATTGTTATCATGTAAACTTGCAAAATCTTTGAGTCTTGCAATTCTTTGATTTCACAAACTTGTGGGAAAAGGCATTCGCAGCCACTGCATGTCCTCTCAAACTGTGATTGTTATCTTTTCTACCTACTACCAACTGTCTCAAGAGCAAAATCTCAGTCATGTCAATGTGCACAACTAATTTCAGAGTGACTCGTTTCATTTCATCTTTTCTTTTTTATTATTTATGAAGAACTGATTTCTTTTCAATACATTTGTAAATGGTTCAGTGATGTGTTCTACAATCTAGCCAATTACTGTTTCAGCCGGCAAGACTCCAGGGATCCGGAACATACATGGCCTGAAGGTACCCATCTCAATAATTGTTTCGGCTGCCTTACACAGAGAACGAGGGGAGGGGAGGGTGGGAAGTTGAGTCAAATGGATTGGTAACACTGTGTTCCACTTATTGAAATGTCAATTGAAGTCAAGGCTCTCTTTTCTTTCACTCATTCTCTTGTTCCCCACGACCATGTTTATGTATGGGAATATCTGGCTGTGCCTGTCACAGAGCCTGTCTTTCTCCATCTCAGGAGCCCTGTATGCTTGATTCTCATGCTGGGAAAGTCATTTAATATCAAGGTGTTCCTGTTAAAGTCTGATTCCCCTCCAGAGTGTTATGATCCTCTCTTTCCATATGATGGAAGGAATATCAACATTGGTTAGAGCGAAATCAGGCAATAAGAAGATGCCATTGTTCAACCATGAAATTGTCATTACAAGCCCCCAAATGGCCTTCCACAGGCCTTCCCATTTTATGTTCAGCATATGTTGCCATTGAAAGTCACTGCTAATTATCATGGGTTAAATGACTTGACACCTCCTTCCTCTCTCCCGATGATCCATATTATATCCATCTGCATTTCAATGACAAAATCAACCCCCACATCACCAAAAGTGCCTTATTTAATGCACTATCAGAGGAGCTTTTGTAACAACTACTGAACTGTGTCAGCTTTTCCCTCATTTTACTTAAGGTCAAGTGTCTGTTTTGAGAAAATGGTGTTCTCCAAAAACCTTTAGTCTTTTGGTAATTTTTCCTTCCTTCTACAAAAGTAATTGGCTAAGGGAAACCTTGTGTGGCATTTAAATGAGGTTTTCCTGGGCACTAATTAAAGAAAGAATCCCTGAGCTTTTGTGAACCCAACGCAATGGCCTTTTGACCTCAATTAATGAGTTATTTTTAGTATCCCCTTTACAGAGTCTCATCTCTTCATTTGTGTTGAATATCTGGGTTGAGTATGGAGGTCTTTGGAGTAAACATGGATGCAGATTAATAGATATAGGATGAAATGAACAAAGTCCCCAGTGAGACGTCAAATTTCAGTGTCTTAAGTTTTTATGTAGCTATTACAAACCCATTTATAGCTGTCTCGTTTTGTCTTGTGAAACTATACTTCTGTATGTTGATGCTAATTTTTCCCCTTCTGCCAATCATCGTGCTTCCTTGTTTCAACAAGAGCCTGTTTGTTAATCATTGTTGTTTATACAGGGATCCGTCCATGTGCTTGTCAGATCTTTTTAGGTTTAGACCACTTCATTTTTCTCATTTGTATCTGCATGTCTCAGGTTAATACAAGACCTAACCCAGGCAATGACTGCCCCCAAGTAGTTCCAGACTCAATGACCAACAACAGGTGAGGTGTATTTTTTCCTATCACAAAATTTTATTAGCAGTGATTTGATACTTTATCAGATAATTAGTAGATTGTTTGAAATAATTGTCTTTAACTGAGCCTCTGATATTGTATTTTTTTACATCATTCAGCTTGAAAAAATCTTCCGCTGAGCTGAAAAGGATTTTGACAAATGGTCAAGTGAGTGTTTTTCCTTTTTTTGTCAAACTGTTGACATGTAATACAAATTGTGTGTCCGTGGCCTCACCTTACTGCATCCAGGGTAGCTGGTTCATGGGTTTGAAGAATGAAAACTTTCTTTTTGCCCAATTTTTTTTCTCTCTCTCTCTCTCTCTCTCTCTCTCTCTCTCTCTCTCTCTCTCTCTCTCTCTCTCTCTCTCTCTCTCTCTCTCTCTCTGTCTCTCTCTCTCTCTCTCTCTCTCTCTCTCTCTCTCTCTCTCTCTCTCTCTCTCTCTCTCTCTCTCTCTCTCTCTCTCTCTCTCTCTCGAGGGCGCTTACAATCTACAAACTTACTGTTTTATCTTTTAAAAGCTCATTCTGCTGCCTCAAATATTCACATTTTCTTTATTTTACTAAACAACTAGATATAACTAGTATGTACCATCATTTTCTGTATAACTCTGCATTCATTTTATCCACATTTGTCTTTTATATACATTTAGAATTTTATTTGTAATTTTTATTACCATTTCTTGTCCGGGGATTGGACCGCCAAGGCTCCCGCCTTGGTCTGCCACCCGATTCGCATTGCACCGGACCCTTCATGTTCCTCCTGCGGGTGGTGGGTCCACAGTTGGACGAGCCCATGTATCCGGTTCGGGCTGGGCCCGGCCGGGCCCCATGGGCGAAAGCCCGGCCACCAGGCGCTCGCTCACGGGCCCCAACCCCAGGCCTGGCTCCAGGGTGGGACCCCGGTAACCCTCCGGGCCGGGTACTCCGACTCTTCATTTTAACCGCCATGAAAGATCCTTCGAACCGTTCTTTGTCTCACCCTTCACCTAAGACCAATTTGTCATGGGAGACCCTACCAGGGGCACTAAGTGCCCCAGACAACATAGCTCCTAGGATCATTAGGGCACTCAAACTCCTCCACCACGATAAGGTGATGGTTCAAGGAGGAGTAGAAGGCCTCCGGGTCGACCCAGGACACGTTGGAGAGGTTACATCTCCAATCTGGTCCGGGAACGCCTTGGGGTCCTGCCGGAGGAGCTGGTGGACAAGGCCGGGGAGAGGACGGCCTGGAGCTCCCTAGTTGGGATGCTGCCCCCGCGACCCGGACCCGGATAAGCGGAGGAAGACGAGAGAGATTTTTATTACCATTATGTACGTAGAAAAAAGTAATTAAATATCTCCAAGAAATGTTTTTTATTTTGTATCTTTTCTTCCTTTGGTAGTCAGTTTTGTTTATGTTTGGGAAAAGCTATAGAATGTAAAAATTAGAAAATGAGACATTCTAGAGCACATTTGATTCTATTTTAGCACATAAATCTTGCTGTGTAGAAATTGCACACTAAAACTGAACGTAAGGACAAACGCTATATAATGGTTTGTATGTAAATGGATCCAATGCACAAGTCCTGTGGAGTCTAAAATATTTATAAAATGTGTTGCATCTTTTTTTGTTGACATTCCTGCAGAAGAACAATTGACTTTAGTTACTGCATGGATCTAAATATCTTAATTGTTCACACAATTAATGCCATGCAGTAAGTATTTACCCAGTGATATTCATAAAAGTTTACAGAACCAAAACAGTCACAGGTGAGGGTATTGATGGAATAAATGAAGCACCAGCCATGTGAAACATCTTTGTTCACGGTCAGAGGTTACACAGAAAAAAGAAACTCTTCTTAATAATAACTAAAGCTTTTGAAGAACAATGTTGCACAAGGTAACTTGGCTACAAAATAAGATGAAGTTGTGGAAATACTGAATTAACTTTAAAGACCAAGTTCACTGAGAAACAGTTTTTTACTTGTTATGTTTTAAATATGATCAGTCACTCTGAGTTTAAGATGCGGGCTATATGTGACAGTAGTTTTCTAGCCCTATATCCTCAGCGGTGAAATGCTGAGATTAGAAAAGCAGATCTACGTCGCACTGAAAATAAGCATTTACGGACTCACCCATCTTGCCGCGCCAAGGGGAAGGCTGTTGTTGATTTATCGTCCAGAAGAGAGCAGAGCACGTCTCAGCTAGTAGTAGTTAACTGTTAGCATTCACAACTCCACAACATGGCAGAACTCCTTCAAGCGCGGGCTATTTGTCGAGATAAAACATCAACGTTGCAAAGTGAACCAATTCAGGGGTAGAGTTGCACTGCTGTTCTCCAATCATCGGAGAGGTGCCCTGATACCACGAAGTAAGGCTCCAGATCCTGTTGTGTTCTGCTCCCCTCTGACCTGGGTCACTTCTGTTTCCTGAAACAGGAGCATGAGAGCATATTTTCCCACTGAGATTTACTCAGGCAATTGATTTATACTAGAGACCCCTGCAAATATATTGAAAAAAATGAGCGAACTTGGTGTTGATAAATTCTGCCTTGTAAAAATAAGATAGCAGGATGATCTAATCTAACCTGACTGATTTTGTTCTCTTTTTAGATCAAAATAGGATTGAGTGATATGAAAAAACATAAAAAAAATTCTAAACTACCCATAAGTCACTGCCCCACTCACCAAAACACAATATCCTTTAATGAATTGGAAAGCAAGTGTTGTATTGATCTCTTCTTTTTGGTCCTCTATTTTCCCCTCATGTCACTGAACTTGGGGTGACCTGATGCCTAGCTTGTTTATGGCATCTAATAACAAAGACACTCTTTTTTTTCCCCCTGTGTTCAAATGGTCCACTGGATCAGTGGTTTCTCATCTTATAATGTTAAATATGCATGCTTGTTTTTCTGCAGATAAATGCCCAAGACATCCACTATCAGGAGCAACTTGGCCATGGAAATGGAGGCACGGTTTATAAGTGAGTGCACTCATATATCAACATTACAGTAAGAAAGTCCGTGGTGGCTGCTTAAACATGTGAGAAGATGTGTTTAATGAGAGTGAGGGATCTGTTTTAGGTATAAATCATTTCTAAGAACTGGATGACTATAGCTTGAGTCCAAGTTTTAAAGATTTCTGACAAGATAAATTTGGCTGCTGTGTGGATAAAGTTCTCCATAACTCACCTCATTTACCCTGTAGTCCATTTATCTCTGTGTTTGGTGTGACATCTATCAGGCTGGTTTATGTCTGTATCGTTATTTATTTATTCTGGTTTGAAGGTTGCAAACATATGATATTGATTTGGGGCTGTAAGCTATGACAGCCATCGACCTAATCGGTCTATAGTGCAGCACTTTCCTTTCCTCTGTGAAGCACTTCATCCTCTAGACTAATGCATTACCAACCTGCTAGCAGTATGACAAGGTTGGCATTTGTGTTGCTCCTTCTATCTTTCTTTCTCCACCTTTTCCTGAAATTTCTATCAATTTTCAGCTATTGAGCTGCTTTATTGAGATTGAAGTATTGATCACTGCTAAGACTAACCTTGACTTGACTGACCGCTGTTTTTCAGACCGTCCTCAGCAAAACTAGTACATATTTAAAATGTAACATGTCCAAAAGACCATCTTTTGGTTTTTATTGACATTCTTTGCTTTACATTTTTTCTGTTTTATGATTGTAAGATTCTTTCAAAGGACTCCAGTCTTTCATAGTTGTAAGTGAATGCGATTGTTCATCAGTTTGGTTTTAGAAATGGTTACACTGCACTGAAGAAAGCCAATACTGCAAGCCAACAACTTCTCAGTCAATTTAGCCCTGCAAAAATCTATATGCACTGGTGTTGAAAATTTCATGGTTGAATGGAGGAGATAAGCAAAAAAATAAATAAATAAAAACGGTTAAAAGCCCTCAGGCTATTGTTTCAATTATTTGTATGTATTTCTTTATTTCTGATTTATAATTCAATTCAGACTCATTAAGCATTTAGCAAGGTGTATTTTTGGCCAGAACAATGAGAACAAGCAAAACTGTGAAAATATACTTTATAACAACTGAAAATCTACTTTAATCTGGTCCTGGTAGTTGTTGTACCTCCTTTTCAATGTAAATTTGTTACTTTTCATTTTTAACATTAACACTCTAATTCATCCCATTCCATGTAAACCTACTGGTTATGCTCTTAATGGAGAAAAAGGTTAAGTACATTTTTAAAAGTGTGTACTTCACCAATTTAGCCTATTAAATATGTAGATTACAATATTTAATAGAAAACACATTGATATTGTCTTCAGAAAAGGTTGACTAGCATTTGTACATAAAAAAAAATTAAAATTTCAAAAATGATATGCATAGAATTGTACAAGGTCACAGTCACCCTTTCATACCCTTTTGGAAATCAAAACCCTTTGGTCAATGTCAGTGCTTGTGACTCAAACAGTTTCTCAGAAAATAAGACATTTTGCTTTCATAGAATAAACATTTGCTCAGAGAGAATGGACGGGCTCGGATACCAATTTTATGTCCTTGTCCATCTCTGCAGGTTGGTCCAGCGTAGATTGGGTTTATCAAATGTGAATGGAACTATGAATGGCTCCTCACCTATTAACCTTTTAGCCCATTTATGACCCAGAGCCATTTAGACTCAATTAAATGTTACCAACACCTCAGCTTTTCATTGCCACATTCTGACCCAGCTATCCATCAAAAGCCCTCTTTTTCTTTTATTACACACTGTCCAGCAATCTAACCGACAGTATGATTTATAAATACTGTAACAAGGCCACGCATGACCCGTGGATCCAGCAGGCCAGTTAAAATGTTTGCTTGGCTGTAGTCTCATCCTAGGAGTTTCAGGCTTATACATGGAATGTGATTCATAAACCTGAAACTCCCAATCCATAATTTGAGTTTAAGAAGCCTTTTATGGTGAGTTTCTGTCATATTATCTGAAATTAAGACATTTTAATCAAGTGTACAAAATGCTTTTTGTGCAAGCTCAAGCAAACTGAAATAAAGTGAAGTAACATTTATAATTGGCTACTGTGATGGAATTCAGCCATTTTTTTTAGGAATCAACCTAAACGTGAACTACTAAAACAACAAAAACATTTAATTGACATTACCATTAAAGTTGTAAGAGTTGTCCTTTCCTTATGTGGCAGCGCTAATATTTACCTTATCCGGTATAATAAGTTGCAGCTATGCCTTTCTTATTTCTGCATATGCTTGTGCAGTCATATGTATTTATGGTTGTGCTTGTTTCATTCAGACAGAGTATTTATAGTAGTATTAGATTAATTAATCGGTTGGAGACACAGGCGGTGTTTCAACCCATGTGACAAAGATGAATGTCTAAGTTAGCCATGATCTAGGACGCCAGTCTCTGTAACCCATAGCCCCAACTTCATAGACATCGTGAGAGGCCCTATGAATACTGCATGATAGAGCTTTTATTACAGAGCGAGCTGGAGTGTAAATAAGATCCAGGGAATGGGGCGCATTTACTGGGGTCAGATCACGGGGAAGTGGCAGCGGGTGGCTATGTAACCTTGTCCCCAAGTCTCCAGCTGTCAAAGCCCATCGCTGTAATTCATACCTGGATGCTCGGCCACAATGTGGTCAAGGACAGTCTGAGGATGCAGTTTAAACCAACCAGTCATCACCCCTAAAGTATCCTTGTTATGTTTCTTCTGTGTTTTTTTTGTAATTCCACTGGTTTTCTGTTCCTATCTAACACACAGAGTAGCAAAGTATTTTCCTTATTTTGCCAGCAGTTTCAGCTACGTCCGATCGTCTTTGTCAGCTTTGCTGTTGTCACTTCTGTTGCCATTTATCTACAATAGAAGTGACATCACCAAAGCTGTGATGAAGGCAATAAGTTTGGTAAAGTCCCATTAGTCAGTACTGGTGAAATGACATCTCTGTATTTGACTCATCCCTGTGGAAAGCAGTGACCTGCAGCTATGGCTGCGCTCAGGAACCATTTGGTGGTTTAACCTCCTAATCCAATAATGTCAAGCGGGGGAGACATCGGGTCCCATTTTTAAAGTTTTTGGTATGACCTGACTGGATTTGAACCCCGATTTCCCAATCCCAGGTGACACTCATACCACTAGGCCACTGAGAAGGTGCAGATAAGAACAGAAACCAATAAGCACCCTAAAGTATGTCCTGAAACCTTTTTTTTTCTAAAGATGACCTCTCTTAATAATTTTATATCAAATTTCAACACATAGTTTTGTTCTCCAGGTAAAAGGGCAGCTCAGATACTTCAGGCTGAGTCAGGCTGTTCAGCATGTTGAGTTTTCCCACAAGCTGTTTGTCATGGTGATTACTTAGGCTTCATTCAGCTTGTCCTGTTAGTTTGTAACATGCCTATCTAAACAGTCTTGCATCAATTAACATACTTGTCTTAATTAAGAGGCAGCCGTCACAGTTAAGTGGTATTGATTGTAGCTTAAAGGAAGGCTGAGACATTGGGATGAAAACAAGACCATCAGTTGTTTGTGTGAAGAGCTTTGTTTAATCCACATGATGCATACGATCAAAAACATCAAGTCTTTCAGAAGAGACTCCACTACTCACTACTGTCTGTCGAGATTCTTTCATTTCATTTAATGACCTCTATAGGACTCTTGTTATTTTGGTAAAGAAACTCCCAACTGTTATGAAGGACAGCACTGGATAGCCGTTGGTCCCAACAGTGTGTAAATACCTAACATGTCACTAATGGGTGTCATTAATTAAAGTCCCAGGCTAGTTTAGAAGTGTCTGGCTAAAGAGCAATTTGACGCTTCAAAGTTAGACATTAAACACACTTTGCACCATACACATTCCCTCTCTAGATGACCCACTGACAAACGAGTAGTTGGGTATCACATGCATTAAGCATGCTTGCAAACCAAGTAGTCTGCATGACGTACATTGAACCCACCTCATCCCTGTCACCTGACAGCTGTTGGACAGTATTTGTCCTTGAGGATTGTTTGGTAAGAGCTTTTGAGGCATTGTCACAGCTACTGTAAACTAACCTTCAAGGGCAGTAACTAAAGCCGCTGCATGCTACTAAGGTGTTTACTAATTAAATCATTATGGGGCCAGTCGGTGACTGCTGCTTTACCTGCAACTCTACACTCTGTCTGAAACAGCTTCAGATGAGGTCGACTGGATCTGGTTTTTGGTTGTGATCTATTATTCCTGACTTTTTAAAGTTACACTGGTGTTTGTTGCCAGTACATGCACTTTATCACATTATTGCAGCAAACTAAAAGTGTTCTCATGTCCATTTAATTTAGAGGTTTTATTAGTCCATGATGCTTTTTTCTCTTATCCCTTTAGAGCATACCATGTTCTCAGCAAGCGTGTTTTAGCTGTCAAGGTGAGAATTTCTTTGATTACATGATAACCACGGTACTCTTTCTTTCATTCATCTTTCCATTTTATCTTCAAATAATCAGTTTGTGTTGTGTTTATTGAAGGCTGTAACCCCATTTAAAACACTTGATTACAGGTAATTCCTTTGGATATCACGGTGGAATTACAGAAGCAAATTATGTCCGAATTAGAAATTCTCTACAAGGTTGGTGTTGACTTGTCATTTGTTCGTCTTTGTCAAAAGAACATATTCCTTTTATCCCCCTGAATCATGCTGTCCTTCAATATTTGCATTGTTAATTAACCAGATAAATGTCATATACCACAGCTAGGCTTACCACAAGCTACCAGTTGGGTTTGAAGTTACCTCAAGTCCTGATCTCAACCTGTTAAGCACGGTTTGCTCGGCAGGATTTTTAAACTGTCAGTTAATTTTCCAAACATGAGAGAGGCCACATGTGGTGAGAAAAAGTCTCAGCTCTACCAGTTTTGGTCCTACTCTGTGTGGTGGCTGCAATACGACAAAAACTACACACAAACCAATTTCACACTTAGACATTCCCTGTTCAGATGGAAAATCTTGCAAGATCAAACATGATGTCAGAGTAAACAAACATGGCAGAGAGACATGCAATGCATGTATGTAACCATGCTATCTGATTGGCTACAAGTCACTTTCAACAGGCAGCACTCTTGTTTGTCCTCGGAAATAATACCAAAACAATTCTACATGTTTGAAAGCCCAGATTTATGTTTGACAGCCTTCCAAGCTGATCAGAGTGCTCTTAACACACCACAAATGGTAGGAATGTTTGATAAGATTATCTCTACAGTCAAAGATCTGGTGCATCTTTAAGATTGTCGGAAAGGGACAATCGAGCCAAAACTCAGCTTGATTATTCTGCTGTGTGAATCAAGCATTAGAAAACCTTTAGGATGTTACAGCTTCAGCACTTAACTGAAGGATTTTTATGGGAATTTTATGCCCAATCTTCAAGAAGTCTTAGTGATGTCAGTCACTGATGTTCGAGAGAAAATGTGGCTCACAGCCTCCTCTCTAATGCATCTCAAAGGTTTTTCTTAAGGTCGAGATAAGTTACATTCTTCCACACCCAACGTTCTCATCCATATATTTACTGGATCATCTGAATGCTTTGACTTAGTGAGATGTTCCAGCACTTTGGATAATATTGTGTACTTACACATGCACATGACAGAAGGTTTACTCAGTCACACAAAACAATCAGTTTGCAATATCTGTAAGATGTTTAAACAACAATATTGGAGGCAAGGAATTTCTCAAAATTGAAGCACGTTTTGATTGTTCTCCAGTTACGAGGAGTCTGCATAGTTGCTTGTCAAAGCAGCGGCCATTAAAATAGCCAAGTCCTTTTAAAGTGCATCAGTACAGTTGACAAGACCTGTAATGAGTTCCTAGTTTACAGATTTGATTAGCGTGCCTGTTTGTCCCAACTAGACATCCCAAACGTTTCAATTAGTCTTTCTTTTCAAGCTGTTGACCAAGAAAAAACTGATTTTCAAATTTAAAGAAACTACACATTTTGTCCGCCCAGAGTTCCTTAAGGCTCTGGATGTTGTGGGGCTGTGTTGGCTGACGCTGCTCTGCAATATCGCGTGGACATCGGGGGCAGTCCCACTGGACTGGCAGACCGGGGTGGTGGTCCCCTTATTTAAAAAGGGGGACCGCAGGGTGTGTTCCAACTACAGGGGGATCACACTCCTGAGCCTTCCTGGTAAGGTCTATTCAGGGGTTCTGGAGAGGAGGGTCCTTCGGATTGTTGAACCCCAGATTCAGGAGGAGCAATGTGGTTTTCGTCCTGGCCGTGGAACACTGGACCAGCTCTATACCCTTAGGGGGATCCTTGAGGGTGCGTGGGAATTTGCCCAACCAGTCTACTTGTGTTTTGTGGATTTGGAGAAGGTGTTTGACCCCGTCCCTTGGGGGGCCCTGTTGGGGGTACTCCAGGAGTATGGGGTACCAGGCCCACTGGTATGGGCTGTTAGGTCCCTGTATGACCGGTGTCAGAGCTTGGTCCGCATTGCCGGCAGTAAGTCGGGTTCGTTCCCAGTGAGAGTTGGACTCCCCCAAAGCTGCCCTTTGTCATCGATTCTGTTCATAACCTTTATGGACAGGATTTCTAGGTGCAGCCAAGGTGTGGAGGGCATCCGTTTTGGTGGCCTGAGGATCAGGTCTCTGCTTTTTGCAGATGATGTGGTCCTGTTGGCTTCAGCAGAAAGTGATCATCAGCTTTCGCTGGAGCGGTTCGCAGCCGAGTGTGAAGCAGCTGGGATGAGAATCAGCTCTTCTAAATCTGAGACCATGGTCTTGATTTGGAAAAGGGTAGAATGCCTTCTCCGGGTCAGGGATGAGGTCCTGCCCCAAGTGGAGGAGTTTAAGTATCTCTGGGTCTTGTTCACGAGTGAGGGAAAACTGGAGCGTGAGATCGATAGCCGGATTGGTGCTGCATCTGCAGTGATGCGGGCGTTGTACTGGTCTTTCGTGGTGAAGAGAGTGCTGAGTCAGAAGGCGAAGCTCTCGATTTACCAGTCGATCTACATTCCTACCCCCACCTATGGTCATGAGCTTTGGGTGGTGACCCAAAGAACGAGATTGCGGATACAAGCGGCCAAAATGAGTTTTCTCCGAAGAGTGGCTGGGCGGTCCCTTAGAGATAGGGTGAGAAGCTCGGTCATTCAGGAGGGGTTCGGAGTAGACCCGCTGCTCTTCCACATCGAGAGGAGCCAGTTGAGGTGGCTCGGGCATTTGGTCAGGATGCCTCCTGGACACCTCCCTGGTGAGGTTTTCTGGGCACGTCCATCCGGGAGGAGACCTAAAGGTAGACCCAGGACACGGTGGAGGGACTATGTCTCTCACCTGGCCAGGGAACGCCTTGGGATTCCCCCGGAGGAGCTAGCCCAAGTGGCTGGGGAGAGGGAAGTCTGGGCCTCTCGACTTAGGCTACTGCCCCCGCGACCCGACTCTGTATAAGCGGATAAAAATGGATGGATGGAAGTTTTGATATGCTTTTTAGTGACTAACCTGTCCTTGTTTGCAGTGTGATTCGCCCTACATCATTACTTTCTTCAGTGCCTTTTTTGTGGAGAACAGGATATCCATATGCACAGAGTTCATGGATGGTGAGATTCTTTGTAATGTTTTTATTTTTTTGCCAGCTACACTTGTATATAAGAAGGACTTTGGGGAACCAACCTGTTTTCTCTGCTGAGTATCCATTTACACTTCTGCAGATCAAGAGAATGTCTGATCACCGTGAGCTGCTTAGCATGGCAGTGTGCTAAAAGCTACAAGGGTGTGATAAATCTTGACTGAAGTGCATTTGTGGGGGGTATCTGTGCGTGCGTGTGTGTGTGTGTGTGTGTGTGTGTGAGAGCGTGCGTGCGTGCGTGCGTGTGTGTGTGTGTGTGTGTGTGTGTGTCTTGACTGGTGTGAGATTGGGGACTGCACTTTTTATTTCTTTGGCTGTTTGTCTGAGTGTGTTAATGCAATGATTCCTGTTCCACCCATTAGCCAGTATGTCAGCAAAGTCAGTGTAACTTCTGAGCACTTTTACATCAGGGAACTTTTCCACTTATGCGTGATTACTGACAACAAGGAAGAGTTTTGGATCAAGCAAAATCTCTTCAGTCGTTCATATTGTGACTTTTTGTGGAATGTTAACCCTTTTTTAAAATCTTTAAATCATTTTAAGTTGTCTTCTAATTTAGTTAGTTTTTTTCAATTGCTAAAACGCATTTTTCAAAACTGTACGTTTCTTTCAAAACTGCACACACAAATTCCTAAACCATGGCTTCCCTTTGCAACAAAATCCTGCCATCACATATCTTAGCATGTTCCCAAAATGGAACACGTGTTTTCATTTGGTAAACACAGCCACATTTTCACATGACACACACATACCATTCATTGCTTAAACACAAGTAGCCTTTGGGTGAACACTACCAAGCATGGAAAGAACACTGAAGAGCAAAACTGAAAACACAATTGTCTAAATGGAACACAATGAATTACACACTGAATGTATGACAGTGCCCACTTTTCTCTGAGACAAACATTAGACATCACACAAATTTTGAGACAAAACATTTTATTTTTACAGTTAATGGTCCTGAAACCACTCATACACCTGGGTAGCCTTGTGGAAACTTACTTTTATGCTGCAGTCCCTGATTGCAAATTGCTCGCCAGACCCGAAAGTTTAGAGATTTGAATATTTGTGTGTTGTTGATTGAAGCTTTGAGAATTTCTGTGAGAAGTGTGTGTAAACCTGAAAACTGTGTGTTGTGTTTTGACAGCAAGGTAATGTGAAATTGGCATCAGAGTTTAAAGGAGGAAAATCAGAGTCCTAAAATGATAAAGAAATCTTAAGTAGTGATAAACTGAGTCAAGCGATTGGGAACAGAAGTAGAGGTTGTAAAAATTGTGCCTCATTTTTGCTTTTTGAGTTTTAGCAATCGAAAAAAACTGTAACTTAAATCATAATAATTGTGTTTATTACTGGCTGAAGAGCAACTCGTCTCATGCAGGTGGATCTTTGGACGTCTATAAAAGAATACCAGAGCATGTGCTGGGGAGGATCGCAGTGGCGGTAGGCACAATAATCAGCTTTTTGAATTATTAAACATTATAATTAAGGTAAGGTTAAAAACAATAGTAATTGCCACAATTCTTATTTTGTTTGCTAAAACATATAAAATCAGCAGTTGGGTATTGCCCTAAAGGCTGAAAATGCAGATTTGCATATTTCCCAAACCAAATTGAGGGAAGGGATTGTTTTCATGTTACTCAGTTAAAACCAGCATTTTAAATAAAATGGCCTTGATGTTGATTAATGTATGGCTCTTTTCCACACTTATTACCCCTTCCTCTGTCTCCATCTCCTCCTTTGTGTTGCTGTCCTTTAGCTTTGTTCGTAATCAGATGATGACAGCTACTTATTACGTGCTAATTCTATTTCACAGCTTTCCCTCCTTTCTACTGTCACAGTTGTTAATTATCACTGAAGGAAAAACACTCAAGAGGGTGCGAGGAAAGCTGCAAATGCCAGTTGTTGCAACACCATCTTTCAGGGAGCTTTGGTGTTTTCTTAATTGATCTCAGTATGCTGTGCTGGACTGCAAGGTCTTAGAAGTACTATCAGTCCCCTCATTGTGTTAATGAAGAAATCACAAAGTGACTTAAAACATTTGGAAACAAAGTTAAATACATGATTTCTCAAATCAAACTGGGTTATTTCGTTTAGGAAGAATGTTGCCTTTCCTCTAATTGTGTATAAACAATTAGTAATTACTAAAAAGGAAATATGTCATTTTGTTGAAACAAAATGCTTTTATTGTATGCAACTGACGATGAGCAATGCCCTTTTTAAAGGTATGCTTCACTCATTTATTTAATACATTTGCAGTGGTCTCTAATAGGAGTGAATGCCTTGTAAGTCATACTCTGGATACAAAAAGCCCTGGTGCGCCTGTTTCAGGATCTAAAAGATTGCCATATCAGAGGAGAGCTTCAGATGGCAGGATTGGGAGTCTTACTTCCTGATATTTGAACATCTCACCTCTGATTGGCCAACCGCTAAGAAACTCTGCCACTGACTCCATTTACTTTGCAACATTGATGTTTTATCTTCATAAATAACACAAGCCTGAAGGAGTTCTGCTGTGTGGTGGTGTTGCTGATGCTAGGTTAGCATCTACTAGCCAAGACATATAAATTATAGATGAATTTCAAATATATTTTCCTCTCCAAAGATGATCGTTGTTTACGTATTGTAACCCCAGATTCTATGAGTCTAGTTGCAGCCCTTAAGCTAACTGCTATTGGAAAGGTGATCTCAGCATCAGCCAGTCATGAAGAGCTTAAATGTACGCCCACCACGTGGGCACCCCTTGTGGGTTATATAAGTGGAACGACCCCACTGTTCGCCTCCGATGGCTCTTAGTCCTAACAGAACCAGTGGGGCCAGTGGCTTAAGGGCTGCGACTAGACTCATAGAATCTGGGGTTACAATACGTAACCAACGTTCTATTTCGTCTAGTCTTAGCCCTTAAGCTAGCTGCTATTGGAATAATGCGCAGCTGGATGGGTTTACGCCACACTGGTTAGCTCAACCAATGGACACACCCAACAAGTCTCCTTTTAGTGAGGGTCGCTCAGCCTCAGCCCAGGGCTTAAAAGGCTGAGGCAGCCAGAGATAAGAGTGAGGCCCCCACTAAAATTATCATCCACAAGAGGATGAAATTCATTCAAGTAAGGCTGATGTGGTGCCATAATGCTTTCACTCAGCCTGCTGAGGTCCAAGCACTGAACGAGTGATGGATCCTGAAGACACATCTCGTAAATAATAACGAGTAAAGGAACAGGGTGAAGCCCATGAAGCAGCCTGACAAATGACTTCCATTGACACACCACTGTGGGGCGCCATAGAAGAGGAAATCCCTCTGGCTGAGTGAGCCCTGAGTGTCTCAGGGGGATCCCGCCCTGCTGATTTGTAAGCGAGTGAAATGGCGTCACATAGCCAGAGTCAAAGGCGCTGGGCCAACAGCGCTTGCCCAAGGGAAGACTCCCTGTAGTGCACAAACAGGCTTTGTGAGCGGCGAATCCCTGAAGTGCGTGACATATCGTGCGAGCGCGCGCACCAGGCAGAGAAGATGGGAAGTCGCCTCCTCATCAGAATTATGGGGAGGAGGAAAAAGTCCAGCCAATGAAAATTGACCTGGATTTGAAGGAAGTATTAATGTTTTTGGGCACAAAGACTGGGTTGGGGCATAAAACAGCAGACCCGCCATCTTCCCGGATCCTGAGGCATGCGGGAGCCACTGAGAGGGGGAGTTAGGTCGCTCACTCTCTTGAATGATGCCAGTGCCAGCAGCAAGGCAGTTGTAAGTGACAGGAACTTGAGTGAGACCTGGTCCAAGGGTTCAAATGGGGCTTCAAATAAACCACGCAGAACCACCGTTAGATCCCACTGGGGAACTAGCGAGCGGGACACAGGTCCGTTCCTTCTGACGCCTTTTAGAAACCGTTTTGTGAGGGGATGACTGAAAACAGACCCATCACCAAAATCCTGGTGACAGGATGAGATAGCTGCAGCATGTTTTAATAGTGCTGAATGCGAGGCCCCTGTCCGTCCGTATCTGCAGAAACGATAGGACATCCGCCAGCTGGCAGGAGAGCGCTTGAACATTCCGCTCTGTGCACCATTTCTGGAAAGCTGCCCATTTAGCAGCATAAGATGTGATGGTAGAAGGCACCCGCACACTCTGAATCGTGGTGACCACATCATGCGGCAGCCCAGAAACCCCTAAGCGTGACCGCTCGGCGGCCAGACTCACAGCCGTTGGCCTATTTCTGGAGGATGTTTGATTATCCCATCCGCCTGGGGAGGGACGTCCTCCCTTCGCGGGAGTCTCCACAGGGAGCCGGACAGTAGCGCTTGCAGGTCCGGAAACCATGATGCGGACAGGCGTCTGGGAGCCACCAGAATTACCGAGAGCCGTTCTGACCGAACTCGGTCCAGGAGACGGGGAATCAGAGGGACTGGTGGAAACGCATAAAGGAGCGTTCGAGGCCAGGGCTGGTGTGAGAAGGCATCCGCCCCGAGTGGGGGTTGGTCCCGGGGACTCAGGGAAAACCACAGGCGACACTGAGCGTTTTCGTGAGCCGTGAACAGCTCCACAGACGGTTCCCCGAACCTTATCCAGATGTGCGGAATGCAGACGCCAGTCGGAGTCGCGGGGACCCCTCTCGACAGGATGTCTGCCGCTACATTCAGGATCCCCGGAATGTAGGTGGCACAGCAGGTGGATATGTGCCCAACACAGTAAATCTGTGGCTATGCGCAATAGTGGGAGGGATCGAACTCCCCCGTGGCGATTTATGTAGGCTGCCGCCACCTGGCTGTCTGTGTGAACTTCGACATGACGGCCATTGAGAAGGGCAGCGAAGTGTCTGAACGCATTCCTCACTGTCTTAAGCTCCAACACATTTATGTGCTCGTGCGTGTGGGAGGGCCAGCGATCTGCCGCCGTATGGGACAAGCACGTAGGGTTGTCACGGTATGAAAATTTAACCTCACGGTTATTGTGACCAAAATTATCACGGTTTTCGGTATTATCGCGGTATTTTTTTAACGGTGTTGCATATGTTCAGAAAGCATTGATAGTCCTGTTCTACACAAACTGAAATAGTTCTGAAAAGGTTTAACAGTGTTTATTAAACCTAAAATAACACAAAGCCTTAGCAAAAGGGCAACTTTTCACAAGTAAAGGAACAAATAGCTTCTTTTTCTGGAACATGTTACAGTAGTCAGTGCAGGTTTAAATTATACAAATCCAAACATTCGAAACATAAACAATATGTAAACAAATCAAAGAAACACCACTTGTTTTCTCATACACTTGTTTTCTTCATTATCAAAATGAAAATCTAAAACTCCAGTCCACACTTGACTTGAGCTCTGTACAAGTCAACCTTAAAAAATATGTATTTAAAATAAATAGCCACTTTAAACAAATGACTAAAATAACTACTACACTATGTAATCAAATCCAAATGTTCAAGTATAAATGGCATTGAATAAGTAAACAAATCAATGAAAAGGAACTAATTGTATATTTCTCTTCATCATCAACAAATAAGATGCTTCATCCAGCAACAGGGTGTCCGTGACACGGTTTAAATGCTGGCAGAGGACGCTGCGGCTGCAGTATATAGTGACTCCTTGCATTCTCCCTCAACCAAAAGTCCTCACGTCATGCATTTAAGCTAAAATGCTAATGCTAACTTACCTTGCACTGGCTGTAGAGACGTGGGTGATGGTCACGCAGACGTGCCATTAGATTCGAAGTGTTGCTGCCTTTTGCAGACACTTGTTTCCTGCACGTTCTGCAAACGGGATAGCAGTCTTCTATTAACTGTCCCTCGGTATTTTTCAGAAATCCAAAATATGCCCATACTTCCGATTTAGTCTTCTTTGAGGGCTGATGGATGTCCTGGGCGCTGCCGTCTCCTCCTTCGGCCATTATTTCAGCTTCAAAGTTTTGGTGCCGTTGCAAACTAAAAAGTGCGTGTGCGCGCCGCGGGAACTTCAGCTGAAGCGACGGTGGCTGGTAAGGGTCACCGCGCTGAAACCGCGGCCACGGTAAACCCACCGAGATAATTTAGTTTTTTAAAAACTGGACGGTTATTTTTATTGTCAACTTTTTTACTGGGGTTTACCGCTATACCGGTTACCGTGACAACCCTACAAGCACGTGCCCCCCACCCCAGACAGTGACGCCTCCGTAAACACAGATACGTGTGACGTAGGACTTCCGATGGGGACCCCGTGTGGGAGGATGCAGGGATTCCCCCAGTGAGCGAGGTCCCCGCCCACTGAGGGGGGAACCCTCAACATACGTCTCTTCTGACGTATCGGGAGTACCCGGAGGCGGATGAGCGTTGCAGGCGCCTCGAGCGCAACAACCTTAGTAGCACCGCCGAGTGGGCTGCAGCCATCATGCCTAGAAGTCTCATGACTAACAGGGCTCTCACGATCTTGCGGGGTTGCACGCGGGAGATCATCGCGGTGAGATCTGCCGCTCTCACCGGCGACAAACGTGCTCTCATTAGGGAGGCGTTCAGCTCCACCCCGAGAAACACAATCAACTGGAATGGAAGGATGGAGTTCTTCCCCCAGTTTATAGAAAACCTCAGGGTTGACAGATGCTCTGTTAATTTCCTGGTTTGCTCTGACGCCTCGGACTGGGCGCATCGGAGCAGATCGTCCCGGTAAAATAAAACCCTCGTTCCTGCCGTGTGCAGTGGCTGCAGCGCGGTCTCCAGACATTTGGAGAAGGTGCGCTGGGCTAGCGAGTAGCCGAAAGGGAGGCATTCGTGCGCGCGTTCCGACAGCGGACGTGTGCTCAAGGTCACGTGAGGATTGGGTTCGCGCCCTTACCACCGTCGCTTGTACCGGAGAACTGAGAGCGACCCATGGAGGGCTGTGCTCGAAAGGGCGAGTGTGAAACAGCCGGAAGAGGCTGATCCGCACCGCAGAGTGTGGAGTCCAAGGATGAAGGACGAGTGGGAGCCGGGCCCGTGCACGGGAACGACAAAGTGCCAGCGGATGGAGCAGCGCAACGTGCGCGCTTTGCGCGTGGTCGCGACAGCGCCATGACATCCCGTCCCACCCAACGCTGTGGGGGAAGCGGGATGAGTCGGGCCTGGCCGTAGGCCGGGGCCGGTGCGCAAATGGAGCGCACCCTTACAGCAAGCCGTGTAACATTACCGAGTCCGACTGTGTGAACATGCAGATGTGCTGCAGTGCTTGGTGCGGGGAACATCATGTGTGAGGATTCGGCAGAGGGTTCTGCAGAGGACTGTAGGACTGTGCTCTCGATGTGACGTTTTTTTGGGTTTTATTTCAAAACCAAAATCATTCACAGACTTAAAAGTCAAAGTCATTTATTGTCATTTCTACCACATGTGCAGGACATACAGAGAAACGAAATTGAGTTTCAGCACACACAATTCAAAGATCAGACATACGTGGGTTAGACACATGACAAGAATTGGTGACTGCGGTCATTCGCAACATGAGTCGCGCTACCTTAATAGATAGATGAAAAGGGTGTTACATGAGGATAAGTGGGGGTAGGTAAAAAAAGGCATAGCAGAGTTAGCCCCAGCGGGGAGTAGCTCTATTATACAAAAAAAAAAACTCCTTTAAACATGGAAGCACAAACAGCAGATACAACATCAGAGTCCGATGGGGAGGCGGGGATGGGCGGGATCCTGAAGCCTCCAATGGGAGCTGCCACTGCGGCGCATCGACCAGCTGCAGACCAACAGGTGGGAGGGAGAGATAAGGACCAGAGAGCACATTGAAGTTTCCCGCAGACGTCTCAATCTGAAGGAAGAGGGTGACGGTCGGGACACAGCATCTGTCGGCATTCCTCCTTAACAGTACAGTCATAAGCACACACATTCCCCCCAACGAGTCATTTTCGTGGTTGTTTTCGGCGAGGTTCCTGTGACTGAGACTGCCAAGGCTGTGTCTGCTGGCTCATTCGGAACCGTTGGCCGCCAACTCCCTGGTCCCGCCTCAGCGGGAGGCCGGCTCCGCGGGGCGGGCCGTGCAGCTGGGCGCCTGGAGTTTCCGTGCCGTTCGTCCCATCCTCTGGGGGAACGGCGGGAGTGCGAGGCTGACCGAGAGTGGACCAGGTCTCACACCGTGGCTGAAAGTTCAGCCACCGTCTGAGCCCTCTCGATGACGCTCGTAAGATGGGGACTAAACAGAACGTCATAGGTGATGGGGCCTTCCAGCATCTCCCTGTGCAGGTGTTCAGGAATGGAGGGCAGGGCCTTGAGCCACAAGGCCCGCTGGATAAGGGTTTGCCAGGCAGCAATGCGAGCAGAACCGGTGAATACAGCCACACACAGATTGAGGATGGCATCAGCAGTTTTAGTAATGATGGTTTCTGACTCGAGAGGAGCGTCAAGCTCCTCCACCATTTTGGAAACGCCAAAGGCGAGAAGGCGATATTATTTCCTGCAGCGCCGGTCTGGAAGGCACACTGGTGTGCGCGATCGGTGAGCTGCCTCAGCAGCTGGTCATGCTTAGAAGAGGGAACTGCTCGCGGTCCAGCGAGGTGGTTCTTGGCCTCGACGCCACACAGCGAGGCCAAGTCCGGCTCCAGTGAGGGAACGGATGGCCAGCCCAGGTCGGAGAAGCCCTCGACCTTGGTAATGGGCACATATGTGGAAATTGGCGCCTTGAACCCGGCAGGCTCGGAGAAGGCGGCGGACCAGCAGCTCATGGCATCGGGGAAGCGTGGCCAGACGGGGTCTGGACAGCGCGTCTGTGTCGCCCCGAAAATTCCTGCCAATTTATCTGCCTCAGGCGTAGCCGGTTCTGGAACAGCTAGCCCCTTGCGGGCCGCAGCCGCGGAGATGATGGCAGGCAGCTCCTGGAGCAGTGCTCTAACTGCTGGCAGGGAGGAGCGAGAAGCCACTGGGGCAGAAGGACCCGCTGAGCGAGGCTCGTCGACCTCAGTGTTGTACAGGAGGGAAAGGGGGCTACAGCAGCCAGCCTCGTCATGCTCCTCACGAGGCTCGTGGACCTCCTTGTTGTACAGGAGGGAATAATGGCTGCGGCAGCCAGCCTCGTCGTACTCCTCACGAGGCTCGTCAACCTCCGTGTTGTACAGGAGGGAGGAAGGGCTATGGCAGCCAGCCTCGCGGTCGACCTCCGTGTTGTACAGGAGGGAAGAAGGGCTATGGCAGCCAGCCTCGCGGTCGACCTCCGTGTTGTACCGGAGGGAAAAAGGGCTATGGCAGCCAGCTTCGTCGTACTCCTCGCTGTCGATGACATCGTCCAGTCGGTAGGAGCCAGCCGGCTCCTGGACGACGTTGAAGAACTGTAACGCCTTGTCCAGCGAGTACATGCCAGCCTCCGGAATTTCCTCGTCGGTGGTGGGGGTGAAGTACTCGACCCGGCGGACCTTTTCAGCCACGGGCAGAGCGGTACAGAACGGGCATGAGGCCTGGGGGTCAAGGCCAGGCCAGCGTGGTGAGCCCCGAGACAGACCTTACACTTGGCGTGCAGGTCGCCGCTGGAGATGGAGCCCGTCTGGCAGGCTGGGCAGGTCCTGGCGTTGCTGGACATGGTCGGTGAGTAGATTTTTCTTGTATAATTGCTCTTAAAGGAAGCTCTTAAGCTTGGCGTGAAGAGAAAACTGAGGCGAACAGTGTGGTCGTTCCACTTATATAACCCACAAGGGGTGCCCACTTGGTGGGCGTACATTTAAGCTCTTCATGATTGGCTGATGCTGAGATCACCTTTCCAATAGCAGCTAGCTTAAGGGCTAAGACTAGACGAAATAGAATCATCTTTACTCGAATATATAGGTCTAAATATAACTTTGAACTTAGTTTTTTGAACACTAAAGTCTGTGTTTTATCACTTTTTCACATCTTTCAACCACTTCCTCTTTGTATTATTTAGAAATCAAGCATCCTAGCAGATCATAATAAATTATATGTGAAGACGAAATGAAGGACATTTTTGTAGCCTTGGCACATCCTTGAGCTAATATCTCACTGGGCTCTTGGTGACAAGCTGTGAACATAATTTCCTAGAGAGAGTATAAAGGTTTTTTAAACATTTGCGGGGGTTCTTAATTTCCCTGTGTGAGTCACAGAGATTGGCTAACATGTTGGTGGATGTTTTAACATTTATAAAACACTGGCACCACATAAGCCAGAGAGTATGAGAACAATGTGAATAAACCGAGACAACAGTAAGAGACTTAGTCATAATTTGTTTGAAGTTACATTATGTGCACCATGTGAGCTAGCTGTACACAACAGTTTTCACAAATTATCATATTTACTCATTCATTATGATCCCACCTGAGAAAAATGTGCACTTCCCTTTACATTGTGTGTCATAGTAGTGTTTCTGATTGTGTTTTGTATGATTTTATTTGATGTTCAACTCTTCAACGTCAGGATGAGTAGCAATCCCATCATCAAACATTGACATAAGCATAAAGTTACTTTCAGCTGGCTCAATCCTCCAAGATGGTTCAATGTTTTTATTTTTTGTCACTTGTTTCTGTAGGTGGTAAAAGGCCTGACTTATTTGTGGAGCCTTAAGATACTTCACAGAGGTGAGTAAGGTTGCTGTGTTATTAAAAAAAAGAGCAGAGTTGATAAAGACAAGCAGCAAAGTGCTGATGTTGCAGTTCTCTCAAGCAGTATGTCTCCACAGATGTCAAGCCTTCCAATATGCTGGTGAACACCCGAGGACAAGTCAAGCTGTGTGACTTTGGTGTCAGCACGCAGGTACGCTGATTTGTTTGTATTAGAAAGAAAGGAGAGGGGATGGAAAAGAGATGAAGCCAAACAGTTGTCTGAATCTGTGTGACCACGATGCTTTGCAGGCCGTGTGTTTGTGTACATGCACAGACCCGTGTGCATATGGTCAGCTTGTCAATCACAACATTCATTTTCAACTCAAGACATCAGTGCTGTCCCAAGGGTCTTCTGCTCACATTATCTCCCCCACTCCCATTGTTTTGCAGCCTCCAAAAAAATCACTTGTTATAATTAAGATGCCCCCCCCCCCCCCCCCCCCCACACACACACACACACACACACACACTCACATCGCCAAGCCTCATTGATATGTATTCAGTAGATTTGAGGAAAGGGTGGGTGGCAGACAATAGCCCTGTCATTGTGTGTGTGTGTGTGTGTGTGGTGTGTGTGCATGTGTGTGCGTGTGTGTGTGTGTGTGTGCGTGTGCATGTTTGTTTGAGAGCATTGAAAGGAAGGACTCTACGGGGTTGATGTTTTGGGGAGCCGGTGAAGGTCTCTCGCTGATGATTATGCTACAAAGCACACTTGGTACACACACACACACACACACACACACACACACACACACACACACACACACACATACGTGCCCTTTCCTGTTCACATTGCTATTTATTCACAACCTTCACTTACTGGGCTACTCAAAGGTGAATTTTACACCTTGATTGGGAGGCATGTAGCAATGCTGTGTCCTAAACCTATTTTTATTTAAAAAATTCTGTTTATCTGTCTAGCACACACCCATCCTGTCTCACATTCTGTAGGACACATTCAAAAAGAGCCATAGGGGACAGACATTCATTATCATGTTCCTTGCCTCTGATGACACACTGACTCACAACGGTCTCTTTGTCCTATATGTTGTGTGGACCCCAAAGTTTTCTCTGACATAACAAAAGTTAGCTACCACCCTTGTGTTTTAATATAATCGCCCTTTGGCCAGGTAATTTAATAATTTTCAGTTTTATACATATTTATTTTAAGCTTGATTTGTATTTGCAGCTGGTAAATTCTATAGCCAAAACCTACGTGGGGACCAACGCATACATGGCAGTGAGTTATTCTTTACTTTTATTTATAAATTAGCATGATACACTTTGTTTACAGTTGTTTTTGTTGATGTCACACAGCCAGAGAGGATATCAGGAGAGCAGTATGGAATCCATGCTGATGTCTGGAGTGTGGGCATCTCTTTCATGGAGGTAAACAAACTTCTGCTTTCTTTCTGTAGAAAAGGGATGAGGTCATTTTTGGGCAGCAAGTTCATTTAAAGAAAACAGATCTATTTTATTTTTGGGCTACATATTGTGGCACATAAATAACACTTTGATCACTTCTTATATTGTTGATCAAGTGTTTGTTTGAAACTATTTCCCTGTTCTCCTGTCCTTATGGTTACACTATTGATTCTCCATTTGTTTCTGTCTCTAGCAGGATAACAAATGATCTGTGCTTCTGTCTCTTCTTTATTTGTCAATAACAGCTAATATTATTATAGTTGTAACACAAATAGATGAGTTCATGTGATGTAGCTGTGTCAGAATCATTGACATACTATCTGATAAAGATGGAGTTTAACGGTGTGTCCTTTGGCCCTGATTTCCTTGTCTCTGACTGTGGATGATGGCATTGAGCTAAATGAAAGTCCTTTCTGTCTCATCTGTTTCAGACTGATCTTTAACACTAGTTGGTCTGTTTATGTTCAAGGAGAAACCCACTTGATGTTCTTCTGCACTTGGCAGGGAAACAATACACACTTCAAGTGAATCATCAAATTGAATTATCAGGCAATCATTTGAGTATAAATACCACAGAGGCATACTTCAAACGCACCCATGATCTTGCTCTCTGTCCCTTTATGTGACTGTTGTTCTCAGAAGGTGGTAATTGTGTGGATGTCATTAACTAAAGGCGGGTGTTGTTTGTTGAAGATGTTTTCTCAGTAGGTGGGCTTTAAAGCTACAATCTGGAGTATTTTTTTAATCCAAAATCACTACCTGGTGACTGAATAATGAACTGCAACTTAATAAGTTTTTCGAACTTTCGTGTATACCGTCAAAAGCAACGCCTTTCATTTGCCAGCTGGCAAACAAAGCTAAACACATTGTTTTACAGCTCATATTATCATGCTGCATTTTCACGCGCGCGCGCGTGTGTGTGTGTGTGTGTGTGTGTGTGTGGCATCAGTCTATGCGTCCTCAAAAGCTTGTGCATGCTCTGTGATTGACATATGCACATAAGCAGATGTCTTAAGCTACTGGTTGATGCTGAACAACGCTCAGTTCGAATTGCACGGGGCTCTATGGGACAGGGGACGGGCTTAGCAAAATATCACAGTTCATGACAAGATTATCACTTTCACAGGTTTTTTTTAAATCCTGAAAAGGGGAAAGCTTCAGATTGCAGCTTTACGCTTACCTCAGAGCTCCACAATCCCATTAGCATTAGCATCTCTCTTTGTTTATTTTTGAAATCCATTCTTACATTTACACTGCTGTGAGTCATGCCTTATTTCACCATGTTATTTTCATGCAGCCAGGCACACTTTGGTGTTGATCTGTGGAGATTCTTCAGGTTTTTGTTTGGACAGCAAACGTGTGAAAAAGTTTAACATGCAGATAAACCAGAACTAAATGCACTCAGTTTTCATAAAAATACGTAACATCTGATTTTTTTTTCACCTCTGAAGTTTCTAATTTGTTTTGACCAAAGTATTTGTTTAAATAAAAAATAAATAAAAGTGGCAGAGTCTCTTGATCCCACCTAAAACTGGTTGAAGTAAACATTCCTACTAATCTAATTAAAGAAGGGCATAAAGACAACTCAGCCAGTGTCCTCCTTCATCTCTGCTGAAGCCTTTGGTGGAATTGTTTATTAGTTAGTCATGTTGCGGTTAAATGAGGTTTCTGGAGATCATTTCAGGACAACTTAACTATATTACCGCCCACACATGCATGTTACCGTAATTGTACAGGTCATCTAAAACGTTTCAGAGATTTTCCTGTTAGTTTTTAGATAGTTCAAATCTTTTCCTCATCCTAAATTGCCTTTAAATTTTTTGCACTCACCCTGTTTTCAAATGCAGTCATTTCAAATGAGGTCATTTACAAACAATGGCACCATTTAAAACGAGGATAAAGTACTATTTACTAGATGCATGCGTGTTGGTACTGTCTCTCTTTACTGTGTTTCTTGGAACGACTTTTGCCGCTGTCTTGGACTCCCTTGAGAAGTGATTGTGAATCTCAGTGGGATTAAAATAAAGATTAAATAATAATTATTATTATTATTATCTTATCCTCACAGCTGGCACTTGGCATGTTCCCCTACCCACAAGTGAGTAATTTTACTTTTTTATTGTTCCTGTTTGAGTCATGGTGAATGTTTTTATGTCAAAGGCTCTGCTTTTCTGACAGTCATGGACTTGTCAGATGTAGGAATATTCTGTCCTGTCTGCAGTGAAGCTGTATTTATTTATAATGTATGTCCATACTGTGCTAGCATAATCCTGTTTGTAATAATGTCTTATCTCTTTAGTCATTTTGTGAAAAGAGGCTCCTAAATGACGTGTTGGAAGATCTGCTTCCTCTCAGATTCACTAAGATGTTTACATTCAACCTCTAATGTATTCATCTACAGTCTAAGCCCGTTTTCCCCCTGATTACAGTAAATTAAAATCCTCCTCAAATGTAATTGCTGACTACAGAAGTGACTTCCCAATCCCATCAAGTCTTAATTAGTACTTTAAGATGGGTTTATCTCCCTAATCCCTCCCAGAGCAATCTGAATCACCTCAAGTTACCTCCTGGCCTCCAGCCTGCTCACAATCTAGAGGACAGGTTCACGTTTAGGGTTCAGTAGAAATCAGTCTCCAGATCCTGATTATGTTTCAGATTTTCCTTTCTCTTGTCAGCTGAATGCACCAATCCTGCACCTCTCTGGTTGTTTCTCATGAATAAGGTGACCGGTTCCTTTAGTAAAATAGGATTGCTCTGTTGTTTAAAGTGAGTCGTATAAAACTGTACACCCAGTTTGCCTAAATGCTGCTCCTCAGGTGTGCTGCAGTGGGACAGAACTGACTACATGTAACATCTGGAGGCGTTTTCTTCTCCTAGGACTGTTTAAGTCTGTGCATAAAAACATATTTATTTGTAGTTACTGGTGTGTTTTGTGTTTGTGCCCTTTCAGCTCTTTTCAGACGGGTGCTTTTTTCTGTTAATCAGACTGAACTTAAAGTTTCAGTGTCTGAATGAGCCCTGCCCCTGTTGGTAATTTCCTGTTACAAATCACAGCAGCAACCTTGCTCAGCCTCCCCGCTGACATTTATTTACCACTTTGAACACAACGGCAACTGTTGCAGTAGTAATAGCAGCCTCACACACACACACACACACACAGAAGTGGAAGATCCTAATTTGTCATCTAAGTTGCTTTTCTGAGAAATCTGACAGATCAGGACATGTAAAACAAACAATGTGCTACAACAAATAACTAGTAATGAGCGTTTTAGTATGATGTTTGGACACTTACATGTTTAAATCAAACAAGTTATCATTATTTATATTAAAATCAGTAGAAATATATCCTCTTAATCATCTTTATTCACTGGAAAAAATAAATGTTTTTTCCACAGTTTGATATGAGTGATGCATCCTCTTCAGTGATATAAAACTTTGATTCTTTTATCTAAAGCCTTAGATCTGCCTGTCTCAAGGGAAAATGTTTAAATAAGTTATTTTATTGCTTCGATAGTTATCCTTGTTGCTTCTCTGTACATTAGTATTATTTCTAACTGATGGGACGGGTAAATTATTGATCATTATTTTCAGAATCATCATCTATGAAAATCTCACCTGCAGCTTTTTGAGTCACTAGGGTTTGGGACAATGTCCTCTGATGGAAAAAATGATGATATACTTTCATCTTAAGCTCAATACCCACCTAAACATATGTTATGGAAATTTTATATTTCATTACTTTAGTCCTATTGACAGATCTATTAGCTGAATGTCCTGAAAACATTCACACGCACACGCACGCGCACACACACACACACACACACACACACATTCTTGTCCTCCCATACACACACACACACACACTCACTCTCTCTCACACATGATCCACTCCCATTCCTCTCTTATCTCGCTGCTTAAATAACCTCTGTGACCAGCTGTTCAGGGCATTTGCCACCAAATCATGATTTGGTTGTATGTCTGCCTTATTGATTCTTGTCTCTCTCTCTCTAGCTGCAGGAAATGGGTTTATTGGTAAACATGTTGATAAAATCCATGACAACTTATATATCTTAAGCATTCATCAGCAGAAGCTAACTTCAAAAAGACAAAAAATCGGGTGTATCAGAGATGGACAGGAAGCTGAGTACAGAGAAATGGTGGAGCGCTTTGTGGCATGGTGCGGAAACAATCATCTGAACTTGAACGTGAACAAAACAAAGGAGATGATTTTAGACTTCAGAAGAAACAGGGTGGAGTCAAACACTGTTTCCATCATGGGAGAAGAAGTGGAGGTGGTTGAGGAATACAAAAACCTTGGAGTTCACCTGGACAACAGACTGGACTGGAGAAAGAACAGCGAAGCCGTTTACAAGAAGGGACACAGCAGACTGCACTTCTTGAGGACGCTTAGGTCCTTCAATGTCTGTAGCAAGATGCTGCAGATCTTCTACAAGTCTGTTGTTGAGAGTGTAATCTCTTCAGCTATCGTCTGTTGGGGTAGCAGCATCAGAAGCAGGGACCTGAAAAGGCTCAACAGCCTAATAAAAAGGCTGGTTCTGTTCTGGGGACGACTGTGGAACCACTGGAGGAGATAATGCAAAGAAGGATTCTCCAGAGAATCAAGAAAATTATGGACAACCCTGAGCATTCTCTTCACAAGACTGTCCGACAACGGAAGAGTGTCTTCAGTCAGAGGCTTCTTCAGTTTCGCTGCAACACTGACCGCTACTGGAGATCCTTCCTTCCAACAGCCATTGTAATATACAACAACTCTTTAATGACTTGATTATTATTATTATTCTGAGCTACTACAGCAATCAATTTCCCTCTGGGATTAATAAAGTATTTTTGAATTGAATTGAATCTCTCATCCTGTCAGGGCCAGTCGGACTCATTAGTGATGATTCAGCTCTTTACTGTGTTGATTTTATAATGTTGTGTGATGAACAACTCTTTCAAGTCTTCATGCATACGTTATTTGTACGTCATCCACATTCTTAGGTGTTTTTAAATGATGATGTTACATGTTTACTGAGGTGACTTCAGCCTCTGTCGCGGCTGCTTTTGTGAGCTGTTCCTCCTCTCCTTAGTGCAGAGTATTTCATCCTCATTGATCTAAACAAGTAGAATATTAGTCATACCTCTCTGCTGTGTAGCCCTTCCTGTGCATGCTTCCTTATCTTGGTGTTAATTCTCCCCCAGCTCCATATGGCGCTTTAGACAGCTCACCTGCAGGCTGTAGCAGAACTGTGTGGCGATAGTACTTGGATCCAGCTCGTCGAGCGCAGCCAGCCAAAGTCCTCGGGCCTGAGCTGTCATTTTTTTCAGCTGCTGGCACAGCTGTCTCTGCAGAACCTACTGCTGCACTTCAAAGAAAACATTTCAGCTCAGACTGAAGACGTTGGTTGAAATGAGAAAGATTGGGAGTGAATCGTTGTCACAAAGAGGGGACGAGTTAAAGCAACTTGGCTCTGAGGCATTAATAGCAGGCACTTTCAATGAAAGCCAGTTTTGTGTTTGGGGTGTGTCACTTTTAAAACTCTCAGAAGGAGTATTGGCGCTCATTCATTCTTCTGTGTGTGTGTGTGTGTGTGTGTGCGCGCGCGCGTGTGTGCGTGCGCTTGTGTGTGTGCGTGCGCGTGTGTGTGTGTGCGTGTGTGGTAGAGTCATCACCTCGTGTTTGCCATGATTAGAGATGGTCTCTTTAATTCCACTTCACCACATGTTGGGATTCATTTGCATTCTTTGTCAGGAGTTAATGGAGTTTTGCACGGCTCGCTCTGAAAGTCTTTGAAGACACCAGACCTGATGTGATGTGTGCACACAGCCGCCAGCGCTATCGTTTCTGATTGATTTGTTGTCTTTTTGGTCGACTCTCTTGTTTTTGTTTCTCCTCGTTTTGTCACATTTCTCGTTTTTGAATGAATTTGTGGATGAAATAATGTGTGTGCGTGCGTGCGTGTGTGTGCGTGTGTGTTTTAACAACTTCATTACACATCAATGCATCTATCAAGGACTCGAGATGCTTTCTGTTACTTTTTTATCTTTTAAAATTAGAAAAGTAATTTTTTTTGTTCTACTGTGCTGCTGCTTATGTGTTTTATTTATTCTAGAATAATCCAGCACCCTTTCAAATGTTTAAAAGGTTGGGATTGATATTAAGGCAGCGGTTATTTGTTGTCTCTTTAGCAGCTATGCCAGACTGTCTTCCTCATTATCAAAACAGTCATTTAACCTTCTTGAGTTGATTATATTTGCAGTTTTATCTAAATTAAACCTCAGGATAAATCTTTTCATACATTTAAAAAATCCTCTGTTGTTTTTTAAGCGTCTGAGTTGTCTTGAGTTTGGAACGTACATTTTTGACATCTAAAAATTGATTTTATGACTTATGTTTTCATGCTGAGCTCTCTGTGATATTTTCAAGTAATGAGAAAAGCTTCAGAACTTCTGAGGCTCAGACACAATGAGCTGATGTTTTACACGACTACATTCATCATTTAGTGACACAGAGATGTAAATACGTCCCCAGACACAGTGCACGACTTTGTACCTCTTACAGTGAAAAATCAACCAAAGAAATGTCTTGTTGTCCCATATTTTAATTATTACATGAAACTCTGCATGCATTTCCTTATATTCATTATACAAAGGCTCAAACATGGTGAAACCTTCAGGATAACATGGTCAAGAAACCTGGTAGAAAGAGACAAGTCCTCAAATATGTTTTAAATAAGCTGGCCTCCCACGATCCATTTTAAACCCCTGAAGCAGCACACAGGTTTGTTTTAGTAATTATTTCTGAACAAATTACTTTTCCATACTTTAATGTGTCTGAATCAGGCAAAACTGGATATAGGGGCATTTTAAGAGTCTCTTGGTATTTACAGGCTGTGAAAACCTGTATTTAATTGAGTGAATCAATAAGTGCTCAAATGCGCTGTCAAAAGAGCCGGAGAAGTGAACAGTCCATTTAGTTGAGCCCAGGTTTTTAAAGCTTGTATCATTTATTCTGTGTGATGAATTTGAAAATTTAAGTTTTTGGAAATTAAAATGGTTGTTGCAGCCAAATCCTCTGGAGGTAGAGGCGTTGTGCAGGTTTACTAAAGTGTGTTATGGTTAAAAGTAAAATAAAGTTTGGGTTGTTGCAGTCCTTTTGGAGTTTAAATGTGTACGTTCTTTATTTTATCATTTTTGTTGCGTTTTTTGGTAATTTTGTTAGATATTTTCCATCTTTGGTTTTTTTTTTCTCCTCCAGACTGGCGCTTAGCCTGGCACCTACGTGTAACAAACTGAAGCTCTCGCCAAACTCCTTCTGAAAAAACCTGAAGGGCAAAGAATAAAGAAATGTGCTAAAAAATTTGCATTAGTGGAACTCTTACCCCCATTCCCCACAAATGAGAGCAAGGCCATTAACATTTGTGTGTTTTCATTATGTAAATGGTGTTAGTGCGTTCTCACAAATTGCCAACAGGAAAGCAATAATTTTCTCCTAGTGATCATAATGTGTCCAAGTGCATCGTCTTGATTATGACACACTAATTACATATTGCCTCATCTCTTTTTCTCCGTCTTGCCCTGCAGATTCAGAAAAACCAAGGATCTTTAATGGTAAGTTTTATTGCTGTGGAATAGGAGGTAAGAAGCTAGAGGTCTCCTACTCTGTATATAATCTGTCACTCTTGGTTGCCTCTCCCATTTACAAAAAAAAACCTACCCTCAGATTGGATTTTTCCAGCAAATTATTAGATTATGCCTAAATCGCTGGTATTGCATTAGGTGCCATTATGGAGTAATAAAATCCTCCAGAAGCTGAAGGCTGGCTTTGCCTGAGCTTGCTGCATATGATTAATCTAGGTACTTTATTTTGATTCCCTCCGTTGAAGAAATTCCATATAAACTAACGTTTTCTCCCTCCGTCTCCTTCTGCGTCTCCTCCTCAGCCTCTTCAGTTACTGCAATGCATCGTTGATGAGGTGAGTCGTCGTCTTATGTGCTTTTGCATCTAAAGTCAGTCCTAATGGCCCGGAAAGCTTATATTTTGTTTCCTAATGAAGCAAACCACTCAGGCGGCTTTGCTCCCCATCCACTCAACCCTTCACCCTGTGTAAATGCCTCAGGCAGGAGACGCGTGCGCGCTACAGGAGAGGGTGGACCTGTCAACAGCGACAAGCAAAACCACAAATCTGAAGTTTGTGTACAACAGGACAGAAACTAGGCTTAATGAGAATCACCAAATTGAAGAAGAAACAATTATTTCATAAAAAAATGTTAATTATATATGTTCACTCTAGAAGGTCACACACTTTAAAGTAGATTTTTTATTGCTAATTATCTATCAGCCAACACATACAATTAGTCTTCTCTGTTCAATTTTCAAGTGGATTTTGTTCATTTTAACGGCCTTCTGTTCTACTTTAAATCATATTCTTTACAAAAACTAGCAGCTCAAGCAGAGTGGTGTCTAGCTTTTTATGATCTCGGATAACAATACAGATGTTTAATTCCTTAAGTGTGAAGTACAATGTAACACCTATGCTATTAAGTACAGGGTGATAAACTGCTGGACCAGATCTAGGTTGGAGGGGTGAGTGACAAAACGTGAGCCAGAGACTGTGACCTTTAAATGGAAAAGCCGGCAGATTTAATCACAACAAATAAATAACAAACAAAGACGAACAATAAACAGATAAATGCTACTTCAGTTACTTGAGATATGCTTTAGAATCACCCCTTTTTAGTTTTTGCTTTTACCCTTTGGGTTAAAGATCTAATAAAGGTTTATTTCTAAATTCCTAATCTAATTTCAAGTTCTACGTTATGACCGGTCATCTAGTTTTGAGTGTCTCGATTTTAAACTTACTTTGGGTTTGCCCTAATTTATATTGGATTGGAATTAGGTTCATGCAACTCATCCCTTTCAGTTCGTACAATTCATTCCGTTCGATTTCCCCAATAAAACGGTGTCACCTTAAAATCACACTTTAAGTACCCTTTAAAAGTACAAAGGAATATAAGTTCATATGGACAATTACACAACAATATAAATACAAAACATCTGAGGACTTGCCGCCAAGCTTAGCAAAGTCCCAATTGTGCATAAGCAATATGAACGACTTGACGTGAGTTCCTCACGTCAACCAATCCTACCCCAACCTTGGAACTGTATGGAGTAAAGTTGGTGAAAGCAGGAATTCCAATGTGACTCTTTGAAGCTCCGCTGATCCTGAAGGTGGTCCTGTTGGGTTATACTGGCTCGCCTCGATCCTCAGCTCAGACCCAGGTCAAATCCAGACATGAGGACTTGGTGGTTCCTGGGGTGGATAAAAACCTGGCCGTTTTTTTTCTGTCGTGTACCGGTAGTTTACCGTCTGGTACAGGGGTTAATTGCCTTGCTGTTACCGTGGTGACAAACGCAAAAACTCCTGCCAAAGCTAACAAACTCCAGAGTGTACTCCTCCAAACTGGCCAGGTTACAAGTTGCTTTGTATCGTTTAACGTTCAATAAAAGCTGTTTCACTGAACTCGACGACCTCTCAGCTACCTCCACTCCTGCCGTCTGTCTGTCAAAGCCTCGGCAGACACGGCCTCGGCTCTTGGGGGGGCTTTCTCAGAGACGTTGAATATTCTTTACTGATAAGAGGTCACAACATCTGTTTTTTAATAAGATTGTAATTAATTATCACTTAAGTATCAAAGTATGTTATTTATTAGTTGATGCATTTGTTTTTTATAATAAGATCTATTTTATAACGGGGTTACAACAAAGTTTGTTAATATACAACACCGCTCCACTTCCGCAGTTTTCATCAATTGTTGGGATGCACCTTAAACTAGGTATATATCAGGCCAATATTTCCCATTTTCATTACATTGGCATCAGCCGATATTTGTCCTTAGTAAAGCCGATTTAAAGTCGGGTACATCCTCGTGCAGTTGGAGAACTTTATTTAAATGTATTTTTATGTTCACTAATAACATCTGCATAATAAATGAACTTCATTTAGGTGTCTGACTTTAACACTGAGCAGTACACAAAGTTTAGATTTAACAGTTAGAAAAAAATTAGAGTTTAAAAACTGATTCAGCTTCAGAAATTTAGTGCATTAGCCGATGCTGTTAGTGAAACCGGTTGTACATGTTGGCCATCGGCTGACCATGTCTCATCGGCAATAGAAACAACGGTATTGGTTGACTTCTACTTTTGAACTCACACTGTCTACACTCTCATCAAAACCAGTAATCGTGCTTTCCTTCCCGATTTTTCACCCTGAGCTTTTTGCTGATGTTCACTAATAGCTAAAATGCCTCCACATCAGCCACCCAGTGCCCCCATCACCAGCCATATTGCACATTAAACATACAGTGTCACTTGTCCTTAGCTGCCTATAGATTGGCCGTAATTAATAATTAAATGCTTTTGGTTGTAATGGATTGACCTGGGCTGAACTGTTCATTAGTCAGCTAGACGTAGCGATCACTCAAACTATTTTTCCTGTGCCCTTTGCTGTCTCCCCTTGAGGCGGGGAAACACTCTGTTGTAGTCCCTGGCGAGGCAGCAGAGCCTTACTGTCCCCACTAATTCCATGGTGCTTTCAAGGAATAGACAAGTGGATAAGCTCTGTCCGGGAAAGATGAAGTCACTGTGAGAGAACGGAAAGGTTAAGGAATTACCCATCAGCCGGAGGTGCAGTGGTAATTAGAGGCTGTAGTACTCCAGATTAGTGCATCTGGATTAAACGTTTAGTTCATATTAAACTTATAGAGTTTGTTGTCATTTTTTAGTAGAAATGTATCCAAAAGAAAGGTTGTTGTTTTATTTTTTCTTTCCTGTGTTTGAGAAGTTTTAACAGTTTGTCACACTTCTTTACTCTATAAATTGATTTAATTGTTAGGTTTAGGATTAGGGCCAGGATTAGGGTCCCATCACATTCCTGTGTTGGGATTATTCACAATGTCGTAGCTAGCTGTCTGCAGTTTTGTAAGTTCTCCTAACAAAACCGAAACAGTACTTTGCTTTTATTCATCAATTCTTAAAAAGGATGGTGTCTTGCAAACTAAGTGTATAAGCAAGAATGAGAGGGTTTTTTACCCACTGTTGTTTTTGAGCCTTTGTGACTAAATCAGAAACATTTTGAGCTCTTATGCTATGAAGATGTTTGGCACCACTTATATTTTGTATTGATATGAGCTTCCTACCTTCTGTCTAGGTTGCCGTTTGGTTTCAGTGCATGCATGGGAAGCCCGCTCACACTGTTGAGCCACAGTCCTAAATTAGAAGTTCTCTGCAGTTGTTTCTCACCATCTGTCCGCCGTCTTCTCTCATTAATGTGCCTCTCTCCTCTATTTGTTGAATAGCAAGTGGGCTCACTAATAAAGAACTCCCACTTTATTTTCAAGCCTGTAATTACTGATCTAATTTTGCCTAATAATTGCTTCATGGCAATGACATGTATATTTACTCGTACCCTTGTACCCTTGTAGCGTGTGTGCTGTCTTACAGTGGAGCAAATTGACAACCAGAGGAATAATTTAAACAGACTAGTCACTTTCATCAGCCTGCTTGTCTTTTGTGCCATCGCCTGCTGCCACATCAAAGCTGCAGCGGTGTTGCACTCAGCTGGGGACATGAATGCATGTATAATGCGTGTTTGTATCTGCAGAGAGGCCCATCAAGGTGCATGCAGATTTGTGAGGAAAGTGTTCACAAGGACTTCTTATAGAATTTAAACTGTAGATGGGACTGAGCATCTTTTAGGTCTAATTGTGATGTGTTTGTATGCACGAAATGCAGCGGTTGCAGTTTATTTGGTTTTTGTCCCTCTGAATCAAGTGTAGTCTGAGGTTTGTATTGCTCAGTGCTCAAGGGCATTTGTTTTGGATGCAGGTTTGCGTATGTGCTATGATATATTGTTCGTCCAAGCGTCCACATGAATGTGAAGTGCAGTGAGATTAGAAGGAACCCATTCCTTTGTTAATTTAAATGGGTTCATGCATCATGTTTTGCTGGAGCCTGCCGATCGGAGCATTAAGGAATGGCGAACACTGCCCAGAGGTGTTTTTAGTGGCGCAGCAGGGCTTCAGTTGTGAAGAGGTTTAATTCTTGGCATTTGAATAAATGCCTGGTTGTCGACCCAGGTTTTATGATTGGTGTGCATGTCTTCATTTACATATTTTTCTGCTTATATCTTGACTTAAATCATCCCGGTTAATGAAATTATTGAGTTTTTTCCCCTTTGTTCTTGTAGGTGATGTTTCATTAAGCACACACACTATTGCATTGTGATGCAATATTTAGAAATTTTCTTTCAACAAAGATCAAAAGTCAGTTTGTGATAAATGGATTTAGTTTCTGCTTTTTTTTTTTGTTGTTTTTGTTAGATTTTATTTATATTATTACACAGATTGAGATCTCAGTCTAAACATTTAGAGGTTTTGTTTGTCCACGGGCAAATCTGGAAACAAAGCAGAGAGAGAAAAGAGGAGTGGGTGAAGTAATGAGGTGCAGCAATGATTAGAGGGTCAATCTGGCACAGATGTTTTACACGATGTGGTTCAGAGATTCTCTGCTGACGATAAAGAACTTAACATACAGACTCAATTCAAAAGGTTTCCGTTAGGCTCCTTTTCTGGGTTTTATTTACCTGTTTTGTATGTTTCAAAATGGCCAGTTTTGCAGTGAGCTGTCAGGTTTTGCTCCTGTAAAATGTTTTATGTGTTTATTTGTCTTTTTTAAGTGGGACTAATGCTGGATTTGTGGAATCAATCTGAGGTTTTGGTGGTGTTAAATGAGATTTAAACAATGACCATGGGTAAATCTGCCTATTTTTGTTCATTGAACTATTTTAAAACATCTGTTTATTTTTATTTTATATGTATCATAGAAATGCATTATTTCTTTATTTCCCCTTGCAGGAGAAAGAATACATTTGTGCACGTTTCCTCCCCACATAAAAAAAATCTCGTGCAGCTTTCTTCAATAGAGGAGAAAAATAAAAGAAACAATATTTACGAAAAGAATGTGATATGTGACTTGCTGCCTTTCAGACCTGCAGCCTTGATGTCTGAATGACTTGAATCTCCTTTTGGTGGAGTGGTGATATGTTGAGCCTTGTGACCATTTTACTGCAGCATTATACTGTAGGTGAAGCAGGACTAAACAGCCTTAATGCTTTGTTGTTTACACCCTGAGTTTTACCTGTCGTCCTTTCACACTATACCAAGTCCTCCACTGTTCACATGGCAGGTGCCAGAAACAAAGACGAGTCAAGGAAAATCTAAGAAAACCTTATTTTATGGTTGCACAAAACTATTAAAATAATCTTTTGTACAAATGAATCACATAGTTTAGAGGTGCTTTATGGCCGCAGTGATCTTGAGACCAGAAGAGTGCGTAGCCATGTAAATCCAGGTTATTTAATGAGGTTTGATTTTAGTTAACATCTTTTGTGTCAATAATAATATGATAGGATCATAATTGTTGCAAAATTTTTTATTTCAATTCAATTGAAGTTTATTTATACAGCGCCAAATAGCGACGAGTCGTCTCAAGGCACTTCACAGTAAACATTCCAATACAGGTCAGTTCATTAAGCCAGTCTGTAAAAAGTTTCCTATATAAGGAACCCAGCAGATTGCATCGAGTCACTGACTAGTGTCAGTGACTTTACAGCAATCCTCATACTAAGCAAGCATTTAGCGACAGTGGAGAGGAAAACTCCCTTTTAACAGGAAGAAACCTCCAGAGGATCCTGGCTCAGTATAAGCAGCCTTCCTCCACGACTCACTGGGGATCGAGAAGACAGAGCAGACACACACACACGCACACACACACAACATATATACCAAGTAATGTGTCTATGGCCACATTGTGATTTCTTAGTAAATATTCTATTTGGTGAGAGATAAACTTTATTGTATTTATCCTAGTGAATATATAATTAAACGGGTAAACCAGTAGTAGCCCATTCAATGTCAAACAAAGTAAAATGTTATTAGGGAGAATGTTTAAGTAGTTAGAAGCAGTGTGCAAACCGATGGCCCCCTCCATAAGGCCACCACAGCTCAGCAAAACACCATTGTAGCTTCTTCTGGGGGGTAAACACTTCGAGAAAAAATTAAATTAACAAATGAAATAGCAGGAAATAATGCAGCTAAAGAGCAGAAGAAAGTAGTAAGGTGTGGAAAGTGGTCAGTGAGTCCTCCAGCAGTCTAAGCCTATAGCAGCATAACTACAGAGATAACTCTGGATAACCTAGTTTTTTAGATGGAGGCATGTGGGAGGCAGGGCAAGGGAGAGCCGTCTTTACTAACTGTATTCTCGTAAATGAATGATTGCCAGGAACTGGAAAATCAAATCTGAAACCCTCTCACTTTGGCCTGAACATTATAGATGTTCAACGTAATTTTTTCTACATGTTTTTCCTAGCAATCATTAATTTATGCCTGATTCAGATGAAAATCTGCTGAAAGATCATAAACAGAATTCAGGTTTAAGGTTAAAAAACTGTATCCTGTTATTAAACTGTTTAAAATTTCAATGTAGTTCATGGTCAGTTTTCCATTTTGCCTGGTTTGTCTCTTTTCACAGGATCCTCCGGTGCTTCCTGTTGGACAGTTCAGCGAGAAGTTTGTTCACTTCATCACTCAGTGGTGAGTGAACTCCTCTTACTGGTTTAAATGGGTTGTTTTCAGAAAGACCAGTAAGTTTTGATTGTGATGCTAATCTTTGTTTGGGTAATCTTTATGTGTTTGGCCTCAACAAAACCTTTCTGGCTGCACTGAGTGATTACAAGGACCATAAACTGTATTTGTCATATAAGAGCTTAATTATCCTGAATGAGTAAAACATATAATGCTGCACAATGGGAATATAGTGCATGTGCTAGTGCATGCTAATGCATTGTGGCTGAATCTGCTTTTAGCTATGATATGCAGAGTTTCTGCTTTTTTCCCTCTAATGCATGAGAACAAATACAGTGTTTGCTCTGGGTTTGCCTCTTATTCATTAGACACTTGTAGCCTTTACAGTAAAGCAAACATTTACATGCAATCCCAAACCACATGCATGTAATGTAGGTGTGTGTGTGTGTGTTTGTGTGTGCGTCTGTGCATGTGTGTTCAGCACTCAGCAGCCGGCCATGCCAGCTGTTGTTTGTCCCCCGTGGCTGCTGTATTTACTCAAACAGGACACCTATCTCCCAGGACTGAGTGAGCACAAGCGCTCTGTCCTGCTTTGGTGCAGGGCTGGTACTTTATTGTCTGACTATTCTTAGAAGTTCACTGCCCTTTCATTGTGATGCATAAACCTGTTTCACGACTAGCTGCACACAGTCCCCAGTGTGGGTCACTCTGACGGACCACATGTACACACAACATGGAGGACACACACATAAATTCTCTAATTATCTGAAACAAATTAACTGCGTTGTATGAGTATTCAGTCTTTTTCCCCCAGATCCTGTGGCATGAAGGATTTTATGTCAAAACTCCTTCAGTATAATTTATAAATGAAAAGTATGCATGAAGGAACAAAACCACCTTTTGCGCTCTTAGAAACCCGATGAATAATAGCTGGATACAATCTGCTTGTATTATTTTTTGTTGCAGCATGAGGAAGAGCCCCAAGGAGAGACCTGCACCTAATAACCTCCTGGTGAGTTAAGCTAAGCCTCCCATTAAACAGCTTTCTAAGGATCACAAAATATGTCTATATATATTTATTTTTTTAAATCAATGTGTACAGATGGTGTTCACATTCATGCATTCCAATAAGACTTTCAATTAAACATAATTTTATTATCTCTAGCTTTTGGAATATGCAGTTGTATTTGCCACACTGATTGAGGTGTTTGGGGTCAAGGACCGTCCAAGTCGGTATTGCTGCGTGGAAACAACAGTAATGAACTTTTTGCTACCAATAAAAGATGTGATAGAGGTCACCTGGAAACCTTGAGGTAGGACTAAGACCCTCTTTAGGAGTAATTCGTTCAATTCACCGCTTTGGAGGCAAGCTTAATGAGCCACGCCTAGTTATACAAGACTCGAATCATTTGGGTTTGCAAAATCAAGTTTCATAACCTTGTACGATTGACCAGTTGGAAAATGGAAATGATTAAAAATATATCTAAGTTATGATAGTGTCTGTGGGCCAGGTATCGAGCATGCATTAGGAAAAATAAGGTAAGCTTAACATTTCAGTGTCTTTCACTTCAGCTTTTATAGCGAAGATGATGATTGGCTACATATATATTAATATGACCAATAAGATGTGACGATTCCATATGAATGTGAAATATCAACCTGATTGATCTTTGACTGTTTAATCAGAAGATTCTAGTTACTTTCACTTGTTCAGGGACCATAAACACACTTCGTATTAATTCAGACAGAGTCAGGTATATAGTTTATAAAAATAAATGTATTTATTTTTCCTAAGCTAATAATTATACATGACAGGTATGAGTAATGATGTGTAATGTAATGGTGTGAAGTGATTTAATGTGATGGGTGGAATGTTGTAATGGAAAGTAGATGTTTTAGCAAACCTTCTAAGTATCTGAGAGTATTTGTATAGGCTGGGTAGTAAAACTAATTTGGCTTTTTGTTTGGTGAGCTAGAGATTTGTTTATAAAAATCATCTGACGCAATCTGTTGAGCCTACGATACTCTTTTGTGGAGATCCCAGTTCAGGGGGTCACGAGGTCGGGATAGACACCAGGAACCTGTAGATTAGATCCGATACGACCCGTCTAGTCCTGAGATATCTCCAGGTCACAACAGGAAGCTGGAATGCTTGCTTGCGTCCGAGTCTGGTTGTTTGGCTCTTAGAAGAGCCGTTTGTCTGATATCATCCGCAGCGTGGCAGATAGGCTTTGACTTGAGGTCAAAGGAGAAGAGGGTTTCGAAAAAGCTTCTTCCCCGATATGGCCGAATCGGGAGTCAGCTAGAAACTGAATTAATCGGGAAGTAATTCCTGTTTTATGAAACCGCAATATTGATAAATTTGGCAAATCAGGATTTGACACGTTTGAGGGTTTTATCAAAACATTTCTCAGAAGCCACACCTTCTTCAGATACAAAGGTGGTTAACACTTTGTGAATAAGAATGTTTTAAAACGCTTATGTGAAGTGAATTTTAACATTAATAAGTATCGTATTATAATGTGTATGAGTGTAGATATTGATTAATTTGTTAGATCAAACACATACTGATCTGGTGTAGATAAGATCTGAACTGGATCATTGGAAGAATATTCCTTTTAAAGCATCAGTGATTAAAGCACAGATTATTCAAACATTTGATTTAAACAACATGTTCATTCAACACATGACTATTGTAACTTATAAGTTTTAAAGTCATGTAGGAAATCCCAGGTGTTTGACTTCATTCAGAGTGAGAAAGCAACCATCAGGCTCCTGCCTCAGGCCTTGAGGAAAGATGTTTCGTCTTATTGTATAGAAACAAGAACTGAACAGAACTGTCTGGATTTGGAGGCCAGACAGATGGTGAGTTTATGTCTGCAAATGAAAGGTTATGTTGTGGTCAATTAGAGGGTGAAAAATTGACCACTTGGAACATCTTGAAGTAGTCTGAAAAGTTAATTTATCATAAAAAGCCTATGAAAGGATTTGCTTCTCTGGCATTTTTCTCCTTTTATTTCTTTTATAAATGAAATCATGGTCAAAATTATTTGGCATATTGGGAAGAAATGTTCCTTACTGTAAAAGTGAAAACATTTTCAAACCTATGTTGATTACCCATCTGAACAATTGTATAGATGCTGATGTACCAGGTGGCTCAGGGATCAGACCTGAACAGCTCTTTTTTTTTTATTCCAGCCACATAATTCCTTATTAATCTCTGATCTGGGCTTTGACTTTGCCTCTCCACTTCAATATCCTTGTCTTACATTTTTTTGTGCGTTTGTTGAAAATAAACTTGTTCCCAAGTCATAGTTCTTCTAAAGCCGGATTCCAGTTATCCACGAGGGTTTGGTGATGTATTAACCTCTACCATTATAAGCCTTCTAGGGCCTTCTGCACAGAACCATGATGCTGCCACTGCCAGGCTTCACAATGAGGATAGTGTGCTTGTGGTTAAGTTCAGTGTTTGTCAAATATCTCTTGTAGATTAATACCACTAAGGTTATGTTTAGCCTCATCAGACCAAATCATGTTCTTTTAGGGGACTTTGGAATCTCCTACTTTCATTTGAGGAGATTCCAAGCGAGATCATTTTCATCAGTGGCTCTCTTTGCCCCTCTTTACTGTGACTGCCTATTTTTCTTCAAGTTAGATTTATAGGAGAAATACTGACTGCAGAAACACAGTGAGAGAAGTGAAAGAGAAGTGTTTTATACCACTGTCTACCTGGCACATGAAACGGCAGCCTGAAAAGACAAAAGAGCAGATAGTCAGCTTTAATGTATAATTCAGAAGCTAAATACCTTATTATGTAACACTGGTAACATTTGTTACATAAAATTATGTAAAATGTTTAAAGCTTAGGCAGCTGCCCCGCGACCCGACCCCGGATAAGCAGCCAAAGATGGATGGATGGCATCATACCAACAGGATGTTGAGTACAGATAAATCAACAATTAAAATGACAAATGCAACTCAAGAGCTAAAGGTTGTGCTGAGATAGTTTTTTATAAATCAGAAATGACTTCATCAGGCTCTCTCTGCCCTGTCTGACAGCTCTGCAAGCTCTAAGCCACAAGCCGCCATCCCAGTGTGGGCTTGACAATTTTCTCACTTCTAGCATTAGCACACACGACCAGACGTTTACACAAACGGGCTTTTAAGAGTTGCTACACAGTCAGGATACTGTTAGGACCACTCACAGCAACATTTGTGTCCACGGAGACACGAGGGGTGAAGGTTAAAGTTGTGAGGACAGAGTGCTGGAGGGTGTAAATGTAGAGCTGCTAACAGATTTTATGTTCACAGTCTTACACTGTGGGGGGGGGGGGGGGGGGGGGGGGGTGTTGAACTCAGATTTCAGCTGAAGCTTTTATGAACCGTTATAAACATTCTTCTTTAGTCACACGTGTGACATCTTTTAGATAGCTCTTTTTCTATTGCTATCTATTTGTTAAAGATTTAATGCACCAAACCATACAGGTCAACTCACTGCACTCGGACATATGTATTTAATCTCTGCTGACTATGTTTTCATTAAGAAAAACTGTTGGGTATTAATTTTCCAAGTACCCTTCAGCTATTGTGAGGAGCCATTTTGCCTTCCAGGCTTTCTAAATTTAGTTTTGACCATTTTGTGACTCAGTGGTCGTACTTCCTGTACCTTCTAAAATCCAGGTATGAACTGAGCTATATGCTTGTTCATTAAATTGCCTTACATATTCCTCTATGTTGAGCAGTAGCGATATATTGTCCTGTAGATAGATGGAATAGTGCAGCGGTTCCCAAACTTATTTAGCCGCGCACCCCCTTCTATGTCCCGACCATGTCGACGCACCCGCCAGCCCCCACATCAGGGCATGGCTATATATATATATATATATATATATATATATATATATATATATATATATATATATATATATATATATATACACACAACAGCTCAATATTGGGGCAGCAGTAGCTCAGGTGGTAGAGCGGGTTGCCTCATGATCGGAGGGTCATGGGTTCGATTCCAGCTCCCGCCAGGGGTATCCTGCTGTTGTGTCCTTGGGCAAGACACTTCACCCAACTTGCCTGTGTTAGTGGTGGTCAGAGGGGCCGATGGCGCCAAATGGCAGCCTCGCCTCTGTCAGACCTCCCCAGGGCGGCTGTGGCTACAAGTAGCTTACCATCACTAGCAGTGTGTGAATGTGAGAGTGTGTGAAAGCTTCTTTGGGTGTCTAGAAAAGCGCCATATAAGTTTAATTATATATATATATATCTCAGACGTCAAGCTTAACAGTCACTCGACAGACGGGGTTAAAAAATATGATCAACCTTTTTCCCCATCACTTTCATTTTTTAAATATTAATTAATAAACATTCAATACCATTACAATTTCCTTTGATTTAATTTTAAATAAATATGTAGAGTGCCCAGGTAGCACATAAACAATGCAATTTAACGGTTTTCTTAAAGTAGGAACGTTTAACCTGTGGCCAGAGCGCTCTCCTTCCTTCTGCTCTGCGTAAACCTGAACTGGTCACCTACTTGTGCGTAATCAAATGTCTATAGGGGAAAATCTATAGCCATGAGGTTCACTTTCGCCTCAGACTGACTTATTGCTGTTTTATGGTGTGGCTGAGTCTGCGATCCGCTGCCGCGCGGACTGGAATAACAAATGCTGCAGTAACAGGAGTTGTGGTCAGGTTCATGAGGAGTCACTGGCTGGAGCGGACTCGAATTTCATACGTCATCCCAAAATAGAAGCTAATATCTTAATTTGACCTTGAATGAAAAATGTTGTTATAAAACCTCTCAAAAGTTTTTTATCACGGAGGAGGCAGCGCTCATTTCTGCCTTCAGTCCGACGGCGCGGCGCAGTGCAACGCCGGAGTTTGTGCAGCGTGCGCTTATTGAGTGTGTGTGTGTGTGTGTGTGTGTGTGTGTGTGTGTGTGTGTGTGTGTGTGTGTGTGTGTGTGTGTGTGTGTGTGTGTGTGCGTGTGCAGCACAGCTCCATGAG